ACAAAAAATGCTCCAGAGAGCAGTTTAGAGGTTATATGGGGGAATTTTACTTTTTTTTCTCCCCCAAGGATACTTTCCATCTATTTTCAGACAGAATGAGAGAGAGAGAGAGAAACTTCAATGTGAGAGACACATCAACTGGCTGCCTCCCCCCATGACACTGACCAGGGCCAGAAATCGAACTGGTCCGCGGGCTGGGACTCTGACCGCTGAGCCAAACTGGCCAGGGTGCAGGGGGAATTTTAGACTAGAGGGAGGGAGGTTAGGCAGAAGGTCACTGCAGTGACTGACGTAAGGGGCAGCAGGTCTGAGCTGGGGCAGGGGTGGGGACAAAGGGGCCGCTGGCAGAGAACTGGACGGGCAGAGTGCTGGGCTGGGAGACCAGTGGTCCCTGGTTCAGCCTGGACATAGCATCACTGTCCGCAAAGACGGTCCCGGAGAAAGGGCCTTCCGCGCTGTGAGACGCCAGAGCGCCGCTGTGGCCACAGACCTGCCACTGCCTCAGTTTCCCCTGGGGGCTAATCGCTGCCGAGACTTTAATCTCTCTGCGTTTTTCTTTTCTTTTTTGGTCAGGACTCCAAGAACTAGTGTCTACTGCAGGGATTTTTCTCAAAATGCAATTATTTTCACTCCGGTGCTAGCTGGAAATGACAGCTTCTAACCACACACAGACAACTTGGGAACTCCAACCGTCTGAGCAGGAACGGGGTCTCAGGAGGGAGGGCTCAAAGCCACCTGCCAGGCAGCGGCTCAGGCTCCTGGTTCCACACTGAGACCGCCTGAGGGTCTTCCTGGGAATAGTCCGGGTCCCCCATCCCCCTTCCTGTAGAAAGCGGGGATGGTGGGTCTACGGGGGGTGTTCTTCTCTTCGTAAGTGGCCTGTCGGAAGAGCTGCGACTTGACCAGCTCCGAGTGTGCCTGGAGCAGGGATCTCGGCTCATGTGGCCAGAAGCCCTGCCCGTCGGGTGTGCCTGGGGACGGGTGTGCTCCTGTCGGGGAAGAGGGGTAATGCCAGGCCTAGGAACACTTCACTGAAGATTAGCACAGCCCGCTGGGGACCCAGAAGACCCAAAAGGAGAATCCAGACATGGAGCCCTCAGGCCCCGAGACACAGTTTGGGGGTCCGTGCACCGGGGCCCGGGCCAGGACTGGGGAGTGCATTTCCGGGTTTGCAAATTGACGGAGACCCTGCTTCTGAGCCGGCAGGAGCCGGCATCGGGGAGCATCTTTCCAGCACGGGCAATGTCGGTGCAGAAAACCCCGAGTATCCTGAGCCGTGGGTGGGGATGTCCCTTTCTTCTCCCTCTGTAGTGGAGCCTCCTCCTCCCTTCCTGTCCGGCTCGCCGATTCCAGGCCTGCCCCCGGGGCGCAGCGATTATGGGGCCAGGACAAGTGGCCAAGCTGGTGGCTCCGGGTGCTGCTCCCCGTGTGTCCCGGAGGCGCTGCCCATGGGCTCTCCACCCTCCCCCTTGTTTCACAGAAGTGCCCCTTCCTGGTGATGAAAACCCCAAGGGTTTTCCTTCCCCGTCCCGTACAGACAGTCCTTCGCACGATGCGGGAGGACAGGTGGTCTCACGCATTAGGGACTGTGCCCAGGCAGGGGCCGGGGGAAAGGGCAGTTCTTCACGAAGAGTGTCCTAGGAGACCGCACTCACCAGTCAGCTCAGGCTAAATTCCACGGAGCTGACCCTCCAACCCGCCCACCCTGCCCACTCCCAGTGGCTTCTAATGATGGGGCTTCATTTCTCACTCAAGCTACACGTCCCTCAAAAGCCGGACACCAGGTGGGTGAGTCCCCCTCACCCGGAACAGTGCAGGTCTGGGCGGGGACCAGCAGGCACAGGTGCCATGTGAGCTGTGGTTATGGGCCACATGGGTCACTTCTTTTCTTTGTTCACTGGACAGAGCAAGACCGTCGGCCGTCCCTGAGTTCAACATGGTGAGACACACAAGCCTGTGCAGGGAGGGACCACCACATGCCAACGGCCAAGCCTGACACAGTGGGCAGCGTAAGGAATCGGGGGCGCCGCCGAATAACACAGAGAAGAGACTGGAGAGCCAATCAGCCGAATAAACAGGGATCAGGCTTTATTGGGTGCACTCCGGGCGGGTTCACAGACTCCGGGGGTCGAGTCCTAGAAGCCGCGCTCAATGTAGGGGCTCGTGTCTTTTATATCTGCCTGTTGTAGCTGGAATTTGTCCCTTAGGGTTTGGCCCTGCGGGGGCTATGCATGGAGCCTCTGGAATGTGAATCGATAAGAGCAAGATGGGAGTTAATCTACAAGCTCAAGGCAGGACGTTCAGGGTAGGAGACAAGGCTGAGCAAGGAGACAATGGTCGAGCACTTTGCCTGGCGCCAGTCCCCAGGCCATCGGACAGGCAGGACCTGTCGTCCTTCCGCAGAGGGGGGGAGAGGACGGAAGGACAGCCCCCCCCCGCCCCGCACACACACCCAGACGTCCCATTCCCCAGAGCGTCACTTCTACCCCTCCGCCTGTCACCCCGCCACGGCTCGGCCCAGGCCAGCGCCACCGGGGCCCTGCTCCTGCGGGCTGAGGTGCTGACAGGCCCTTGAGCTCTCCAGACCGAGAATCTGAGGAAGCGGATGCAATTCCCAACAGCGTGTTTGGTCCTGCAATGACCCAGGGGCAGCTAAGAGATTCAGCATCTACGGGCTGCCTGAGACCCACGTCACCCACTCCTGGCTCCTCAGTGATTTCTGAGTTCTAAACTACTGCACACAGCATGCTGCCAGACACGCCGTGGAACCCACACACGTCGCAGACAAAGCAAGGAGCTCAGCCTGGCTGGTTTGGCTCAGCAGTTGGAGCATCATCCGTGGACCAATGAGTCGCAGGTTTGATTCCGGCCAAGAGCACATACCTCGGTTGTGGTTTGTACCCAGCACTGGTTAGGGCCCTGCAGGAGGCAACCAGTCAGTGTGTCCCTCTCACATCAACATTTCTCTCTCTCCCCCTCCCATTCTATCTGAAGATAAATAGCAAAATATCCTCAGGTGAGGATTAAAAACTAATGAAAGAAGCTCTGAGGCATGTAGTATCTTTAACATAATCTTATATTTGGAAAAGCAGTTTTAAAAAAATGCTTGAAAATACAAGGTAAGGTAACAGTGACTTATATAAGTTTTCACCTTATATTGCTTGGCCATTTTTACATATAAATTATTGCTTACCAGCTTCGATAAATACACACAGCACAGTCATATATGTACAGAAGCAGAAAGCATGAAATCTGAGAAAGAAAATACTGTTAATGGCAATTCTGGTAATTCAACCAATGTTTCATATTTACCAGCTCTTATGATGGTGGAAAACTACGAGGTGTAGTCCCTGAGAAGTTAGGTAGGCACCCTGATTGCGGGTTTTCTATCTTCTAATCGTTAACGCAAGCTGACAGTGTCTCAGCGGTCCTAGTGAATGGTACAAGGCTTGCCTCAGCTCATCGAGCCCATCCCAGTATTTAATAACAGTGTAATACGAATACAATAAATAGGCTGTGCAAATAAATAGTGCTCTGCTAAAAAACGTTTAGTATATACAGCTTTGCTTTTTTTTTTTTCTTTTTTTCTTTTTTTACAGTAGTACATTTTCATCTAACTTTTTGGCAATTTTTAAAACCTTTTCTCCCCGACTGGTTTTCAGCACAATGGCCCGCTTGTTCATAAGCGGGCTGAAATTTTAAGGACGTGTTTGAAGCGTTTAAAAGAAACTCCATGCCGGACAATTGCAGTGCGCCTGATCGTCCCCGTTTTAATGTTTTTGCCTCGTTTCCGAGAAGCGTGCATTAGTTGTGCCGTTTAGGAACACGGAATTGAGACTTGTGGTGTTGGTGATGGCTGCAACAAGGCGCCAGGCGGTGACTGGGGAGCAGGGCAAGCCCAGCTCTGGGGACCCCGAGTCACCAGCAGCCTCTCCTTCCTGCGGCTGTTTGTCCCACTAGGAGGCGGGTAAGCCTTACGGTGCAACATCTCCAGCCAACCGGGAGGGGCGGGGTTTTACTTGATCCTCACGCTTCCTAGCTCAATGCACACACCGCCTGCCGTCCCTGTGGACAGGGGTCTGGGTAAATGAACTTATTCTAAACATAATTAACAATACTAGAAGAAAGTGAATGTAGGCCATAATATCGATCATGACAACCATGTGGCAATTGTGCAGATTATAACAAAGAGTGAATCTGAAACACTGTAGTCTTTGGAGCATCTGTAAGTATGTAGGGAAAAAAAAATTCAGAAAGGCTGCGGTTCTGCCTACAGGAACTTGTCCGGTGCTAACTTCTAAGCAGGGCTGGTTTGCTGGGCTGCTGATGAATCAGACCACAGGGCCGTCGGGAGCTGTGCTGTAGCAAAAGGAACCACTGAGGAGGGTCTGTGCACCGCTGCTGGGACGGTGGCAGATGGCGGACATTCAGAGTGAGTGGAGACTTTATACGATCGTAGAAACCTGAGAGAGCTGGAGGAAGCACCGAGACGTCTTCCAGTCCCCCTTCTAGGCAGAACAAAAGCTAATCCGAAGAGGCCGTGGCAGGTATTCGGAGAGGGAACACGGCCCCCCTTCCCTATGAACAGGGAGCTGCCCTGTTGGCCCTCTCGCTAGCGGACAGCTCAGATCTTTAGAGAGTGTCATGCTGAGCTCCTGCAACTCTGCCTGAAGTTTTTAATCCCAGATGTACGTCTCCTTGGGGCCCCTGCAATGTCTGAGAGCTGCTGCCTGGGGAGTCTCTGGAGACAGCTGTTAAAGTTCAGAAAGATTTGCCCTGGCCGGTTTGCTCAGTGGTTGGAGCGTCGGCCTGTGGTCCAGAGAGACCCGGGTTCGGTTCCCGCTAAGGGCACGTACCTCGGTTGCAGTTTGTCCCCAGCCCTGGTTGGTCGTGAGGGTGGCAGCCACTCGATGTGTCCCTTTCACATTGATGTTTCTCTCTCCCTCTGTTCCTCTCTCTCCCTCCCACTCTACCTGAACAATAAATGGAAAAATGTCCTCAGTCCTTGGGTGAGGATAAAAAAAAAAAGTTGAGAAAGATTTGGAGATTTTCACATTCAGAAGATAGAGCTGGGAAAGCAAATCTAAACTGAACAAAACCCTCCCTTCCCTCAGCCGCCCGAGAGCCACCCAAGCCCGGCTGGAGGAGTCGGCGGACAGCGCCACGCTCTCGCCAGCCTGCTTCCACCCATGCCACGGGGCACTCTGCCCACTGTCAGGCTGTGTTTAAACCGGACGCCCGCTGGATTTGCTGGGCCATGTGCACATTTGAATTGAGGTCTAAGCAACAGGTGCTCTGCTGAAAGAGCTCTCTGCTAGAACAACTGAAGTAGTTTTAGTTGGAACAATGAGGATCTTATGTGAATAAAAATTTAAATGGCAACACACGGAGACAATGCTGAAACGGGCTTGGATGACCTGACTGGGCCAGGGGACTTGCCAGCAGAGGGCCCAGACGAGAACACCTGTGTGTGCTGCCAGCCCTGCCGTCCTCAGCGATGCCAGGAGAGGCCTCCCCAGTGTCTGCCCTGGTTCCGGGCTCCTGCAGTGGGTCTCACGCCAGTCCCAGCAGCCAGGGGCGTTTCTCTAAGAGGACCCGTCCTAGATGGCGCCTTTCGACAAAATCCTGTTCTTTTCAGGACTGAAGTTTTACGTGCTGGGACAGACTGAATCTCTTTGGAAGGTCAACCCCAAATCTGGCTCCTTCCGATAGGGCTCAGTGTGGTTCCCGAGCCCAGCAAACAGCATGGCTAGCGAGGGGTCAGGAAGCACAGGGCCCCGCTCAGGAAGGACGTGCCGATGAGGCAGGGGAGCAGCTCTGTGCGGCACCTGAGCCGTGAACAGGTGGCGGTGGCCAGGGCTCACCTGAGCGGGGCACGAGTGGGCCTGACACAGAAGCCGGGCCCCTGCACGTCGGAACGTGACGAGGATCTAGCTGGCGAGGGCGGGTGTCGCTACTGTATTCCACAGGCGTTTGTGAAGGTCGAGGGAACTTGAACCAGTTCCGAGAACAGCAAGGGTCTTATTTACTGGAGGAGCCCTAATCTATAAAAATGGGCATAAAAAAATACTTCAAAGACTCTTTAAAAAGAAAGACAAGTTATAGGAAGGCTGCCGTCTTGGTTGGAGGGTGAACTCTAGGGCTCATAAGTATCTAAGGTAAATCAGACATTTGGCTATTTCCTGGCTCTTTGCATTTAGCGTGAGATGGGCGATCAGCACCATCTTCCTACCTTGCTCTTCTCCAGAGAGTGCCATGCACCTCCCTGCACACTGTGGGCGAGGGGAGCGGAGCACAGGGTGCCCGCAGGCACAAGAATGCAGACCTCTGGGACTCCGTCACCTGGGTGAGCAGTTGCGGAGCGCCTGCAGTGTGTCAGGCACTGTGCTCTTCAAAAACCATCTTTCCAATAGCAGGTGAGAGCCTGTTTGCACATGTAAAGAAAAGCCCCGGAAATTAAACAGTGGGTTCACTTCCTAAAGATTCCTCTTTTCCCTTATCGGCAAGGCAACTTAGCCTAACTTGCCCATAGTTGCAAATCAGTCGTGCAGAAGTGAATTTCACCAGCGAGCTGACACCCCTAAGTGGTTGTGGGTACAGAGAAGTGCATGCCTTGACGTTTCCCTTTTGGAACTCAGCGCATGGATGCCAGCTGCTGGTCCTCCCTCACTCCCTAGACACAGGTGGCCTTTGCTGAGGTGACCGCTTGTATCGACAGAGACCACGCCTCCCCCCTGGAAACTGGGAGATGCCATCACCGTCTTCTGGTGTTCAAACAAGCCGCTTTCTTCCCAGCCTGCTCCCAGGCACAGTAACACGGGTTCCTTTTTCATGCACACTCTTCCTGAAACATTTGGTCCCTGTAACAAGACATGCCCCCTTGTCTTGGTGCTGGCACATCTGGAGTTGGAAGCTGGATGGGATCGACATTGTCAGCATCAGAAACCAGACTTCTCCGTTTCAAGAAGCTCTGACTCTTCCGCCTTCTCCTTCCGAGAGCGGCGAGGAGAGGCCTCCCCCCTCTCGGTGGCTGGTGTCACTTCCTGAGCAGGCTTTGGTGGGCTTTCCTGTGTGTGTCTTGTGAGTTGCTGATAAAACTCAGCAACTCCTTTCCTCGTGGGGAGGGACGTGCGGGCACTGCCTCCGGAGCTCCGAGCGCTGCAGTCCCTCGGGGGCGGGGCTCACACCCGCGGCTCGATCCTGTGCGAGAGCTCAAACAGGGCCTGCTGGCTGTCAATGACATACAGGTGGTTGACGTAGGCTCTTAACTCTTGGTGCTCTTTTGGAGACATGTCACTTCCTAGTTTTTGGAGGAAAAAAAGACAGTCAGTCTCACGAGAGCGGTAATACTCTTTCTAAAGACCAGTAAAACCCACCTTGAGGCTTAGAGGAAACCTACCAGGCAGACTCCCATTAGTCAGAATCGCAGAAGAGAGATCTTTATGCCAACAGTGCACTTGCTTTTTCAGCTCAGACTAGGTCCCTCAGGTCAGGTAATTAGACGGGCACGGTATTTGTTTCATTGACATTTATACCATGTGTATCGCCTAACATTGCACAGTATTCAGTGGTTGGGTTGTCACCCCCTTCTCAGAGTGGAAACAGCACAGACACACCGGCACCCAGGCCGCGGGGCCCCCAGGTCCACGTCTGCGGTCCCAGGTCCCAAGAACGCCCCGTTCCAATGGCTTTCACTGGCTCTAACTCTCTGGAACTGTGAGAAGTCACTGCTAACCCGTGAGTGCACAGACACAAGAGTTTCTATTGGTGTCCATATTTTTTGGGGAAAAAAAAAACGAAGGGATGGATGGAATGAACAGATATCACAGAACAGAACTTAGGGTGTGGCTAACAGAAAGCTGGGTCCAAAAGCATGTAGACGGGCTAACAGGTACCCAGTGAAAGACCAGGCAGGGGTTTCCACTCCCAAACCCCGGTGGTTGAAACCGCGAGGGGCCGCAGGAGGCTTTCGTGCACTGTGGACACAGGTGTCGCGCTGGCCACAGCTGTGATAAGGAGCCAGAGGTAAGGTAGCCTGGACAATGGGGCAAGCCCGCTTCCCATACTCAGAAACAAACTAAACCCACCCCCACCCCCTAAGCCCCAGGGCACCCGGAGACTGGGTGGACTGCCCACAGAGACAATGTGGACGTGGGGTGCGGTCTCGTCCTCTGGCTTCGGGAGTTTGGGGAGCAGCAGGGGCGAGGCTGCAGTCCCTCGTGAGCAGGGGGACGAAGGCAGCCGTTTTTCCCTCCTCTTTGACAATGCGTTTTTTGTTTAAGGCCTGTAGTCACGGGTGGCTTATAATTCTTAGGTTTAATAGAAACAAGACTTCCTGGTTTCAAAAAGTAAAAGCACCAGGCATTAAATGCCTACCATCCCACTTGTTTGAAAGCGACCAAAAGCTGGGCCGTTCCAGACGCCTTGTCTGGGAGACCCCGCGGGCTGCTCTCCGTTTAGTAAACCCTGGTTGAGAAAACACGATGCTAGCAACATCACCCGGTTGTTACATTTGGGGCCTTAAAAACAGATGGTAGAATGAATGGTTCCAACATGACAACTGACACTGTGGGCGCTTTGTAATGTATAAGGGCTTGATCTTTTGTATAAGAACATGATCTTTCATCCCAAATGCTGACGTTGGCTTGCCATGCCTCCGTAAACTGTCGGCGTGAATTTAGGTAATTCAGTCCCATACATGATTTTTAAAGATATAGCAATACAAAACACACACAGGCCTCGGAGTTATTTAAATTTCCCTTTTGCTTTGTGCTACAGAGACTTACTCTGTGGTGATGGGAGGTTCAAGACAGGGTCAAGGGCAGCCGGGCCAGTATGACCTTCCTGTCCACACTTGTAGCATTTATAAACCAGAGTCCCCTGATACATGAGACTGAAGTCTTAGAATTAGCTGACTACCCATCAATACTTGGGAAGCAAACGAGGATGAAAGAAATGGGAACTCATCGGCAACATGATGCTTGTACATTTGAATGAGTCTCCATGACAATGTTACTATCGCTGTTTCTAGTGTAATAGCACTGTACTTGAGTACTTTGTGGAGAATTGTATAAGCACATAACAATGGTATTAATTGATGTGACTATTTGCAAAATTAGGTCCTGTATTTATAATTTTCTCTTTCAAACAGAAACTTTGTAATTCGTGCGGAAGTTCAGCTGTTTTGTGTGAGGACCACACTGTCAGCCAAGACAAGCCCAGACAGAAAGAAGCAGCTTAAGGATGTGCACCCATCCTCAGGACGTGTGACTTTGATTTTTCTACTTTGTGTACATTCTGTATTGTTAAAACTTCATTTTACAATGAGCACGATTTACTTAACTAAGTAAGTTTTACTTGGTGGACATCTTTCATTGATCTATAGTGACTGAATCCAACGTTCTATTTTTTGTATTGCCCTTTCTATCTACTGAATCTGCACAAGGCAAAGAAAAGGGGATGGACCAGGAAATCACGCAGACTCGGTCTGAATAAGGGCTGGATGAGTCCACCTCTGAGCTGCCTCCGCTCGGTCCCCACAGGATTAACAATCTCTATTCGCCAGTCCCCAGTCATGGTGTCAGGATCCCACTGCCCGTGTGAAAGTTCTGTGAGCTCAGAAAAGTTGATTTCCTTCCTTCCTGCCAAGTTTTAACATGATTTCAACATAATGTAAATTATGCCTGCGATTTAGAAAAGAACAAATATTCCTACTTACATTTGTCTCAGTGGGGAGTCTACAAAAGTGCTCAGAAACATACTTGTTCAGTGAAAGGCAGCTCCAGACAGGAAATTTTTGTTGGAGAGGAGGGAAGATTCTGGAAGGCTGCCTTCGGTATACTAGTCCTGTTCTAGGAAGGCTCCAAGCACAGAGGGTTAGGACAGGTCACCCCGATAAGCCCACCGGTAATTCTGTGCCCGTGGGCGATCTAACAAGACTTTCTGGGTGGAGAGGGGGCTTCTGATGGTCCCAAGTCACTCTGTACAGTATAAACTTGCTGCCATATCTTGTCTTCCTCTGCATCCCCAACTCGCAGCGATGGCACAGAGAGAGAATACAGCGTATGTGCACAGTGCGCACATTATGCTTTACAACTGCTTTACAGTCATTACCACCAGATACTCCTGACAGGGTCACTGTCTACGCCACTGTACAGTAAGTTTGCACTGCACACTGGCTTCAAATACTCACCAAACTGGTTAGTCCTGCAGTGTCTCAGGGTTCGGACGGTGTCTGCAATCATGTGCTAGAAGGCAGAGCAGGACACATATCAGTGGAAGGGGCACTGAGGGTGTTGCTGAAGTAGCACACCTGCCAGGATCTGAGGATATTTGTTTTGCACCCTTGGGTGCAATTTGGAGCTGGACTTTAATGGATAATATTGAGCGTGGATTACAGAAGAATATCCAGTCCTTGTCTGTAGAAACAGTGGCTCCCCAACCCGGATGCACAAGTCTAACTGAGCCACGGGAAAAGACACGAGGAAGAAATGCAGCTCTCACGCCTCCGGCCACGTGTCTAGTTTGCTCAGGCTTTCACTTCAGGGGTGCCCGCCTTTTCTCCCTCCTGGCCTTGGGAGGCGTCCTTCTCAACATCCTCACCGTCCTCTGCACCAGACATGCTGGCTCTGCGCTGTGTTTGGTGGGGAACGTTCCTGCCTGCCCAGCGTCTCCCACCTGTCCTACACGTGCACGCACGCACGCCTCCTGAATGCAGGCAGGTGTTTTTGAGGAATCAAAGGCTCAGGTGTCCCAAATGGTGGTAGGAAGTGACATATCCATGGAAGACAAATGTTTTCTGAAAGGTCAATATCTTCCCAAAGACTGTTTTCTGTTTATAATGCATATTCCCTCCCACACCCCTCAGTATTCTGCTTGAATGTCTTTCTTGGGAGTTCTCACTGGTCTCCGGCACCCACACGATCCCGTCACCTCCCGCCTGTACACCTGCGACAGTTCTAGGCGCCGCTGCCTCGGTTTTCCATGATGAAGGAAATGCAGCGCGCAGGGCGAGACCATCCTCCACTACAGCTCCTCCCATCAAGTTCCAGAACAGCCTCCAAAGCCTCTTGTCATCATGTTCTAGTCCCCTGGAAAATCTGCAGTGACTCCCTAATTTGTTTCATATCAAAATCCAAACATCACCTCATTATGCAAGAATCAACCTTGTCCATGACCTGGTGCTTCAACCCTCCCCACCTGGGCCATCGCCCTCCACGCCCTGGGCAGATACACTGAACCCAGGTCCATCCATAAATAGCGAGCCCTCAAGGGGTCATTGCTCACATAAAGCTAATATGAATTTTTAAAACTTAAAATCCAGCAGAACGAGAGAAACGGTGTCTGAATATGACCTACTTATTAAATTGTTCTCACAGCTGTATTTCTGCTCAGTAGTGGAAAATTAAACAGGACAGTGATGAGAACAGTCGCTCCAGCTGCACTTGCAAAGGAAGCGAGGCCTGACTCATGTCTGCCGGGGGATTGTTACGTTTCCTTCCCCAGCGCACCGCGCGCCCCAGGACGGCCCCGCCTCGCTTTGCGCTAGGGCGGCGCGTCGATTGCCATCCTGTGCCATTTGTGCAGCTCACGCAGGGCTCAGTCCTGACTGCGGCACAGACACCCGAGTCCTGGCCCTCATCTTGAGGTTTTCGGAAGGGACAGAGAGGACGATGTGGTGAAAAGATGATGCTCTTTTTTTTTTTTTTTTTATCCTCACCCGAGGACACTTTTTGTTCAGATAGAGTAGGAGGGAGAGAGAGAGAGAGAGAAACATCGATGTGAAAGGGACACATCGAGTGGTTGCCACCCGCACGACCAACCAGGGCCAGGGACAAACTGCAACCAAGGTACATGCCCTTAGCGGGAACCGAACCCCAGTCTCTCGGGACCGCAGGCTGATGCTCTAACCGCTGAGCCAAACCGGCCAGGGCAAAAGATGATGCTCTTAACATTGAGGGACCCAGAGGAGGAAGGGGAGAGCGTTTGTTTCTTCCGTGCTTCACAGTTTGGGACTGAGCCGTGCAGAGCCTCGAGGCAGCGGAGGGAACACTGGACATCAGCCCCAGGCCGCTCGGGGGTTGTCGTGTCATCTGACTGAATGTGTGGGCCTGCACCAGCCAGATACAGATAACGCGCTGTATTATCTGCTCGCTGGCTCAAGCTAATATCCATCATGAGGAACTGGTTCCTCACAAGTTAATTCAGTTACGTTCTATTGGTTCATTATTGTGAAAGATGATCCTGCTTTAGCTTAAGTGAAATCCTGTCCTTTGCTAAGACATATTCCTTCAAAATACTGCCTCTACGAGAAAATTCTGCTTTGTTCCCCGGCATCGGAGTATAACATAGGTTATGTACAATGTAAATACATGTTTGTCCTTCCGGAAAATTCTAACTTCACCCTGTCTTTTCTGTACAAGGAGGGGGTGAGCAGGAGGTGTGCTGTATGTTAACGCCTTCTACTTTGAGGACCAGGAACCCACTGTGTGTCCCAGGGGCCTTATAGAACTACTTATCTTCTTTTCAATGAAAGTTCTCTTCAGGAATTTACAATTAAAAATAGAGTGTACCCAGCCAGTGTGGCTCAGTGGTTGAGTGCCAACCCATGTACCCAGAGGTCACTGGTTCCATTCCTGGTCAGTACACATGCCCAGGTTGTGGGCCTGATCCCCAGAAGGGGGCACGCAGGAGGCAGCCGATCGATGATTCTCCCTCATTGATGTCTCTCTCTCTCTCTCTCTCTCTCTCTACTATCAATAAAATAAATAAATAAATAAATAAAGAGAAAATAGAGTATTACTTATGTATGCCATGCTATTTCCTTAAACTTTCTTAAAGAATTAAGGGTACAGATAATTACCCACCATTGCAGAAGTGCTATTAGTTAGACTTTGTTTGTTTTAGTCACAATGGTTAGTTGGACGCTTTAGCATGTGTGAAAGCAAGACCCTAGACAACACCAGCTGGCATTAAAAGCCTTCCCCCGGGCTGTGGAGAAAGTGGGGGAAGACCAGAGATGCTGGCCAGAGACCAAGAGAGAAGGGTGTAGGGGATCTTCCCATGGCTCCTTCCCATCTGTGGCAGCACTTATCTGAGGGGAAAGAACACAATGAACTTAAGCAAACCACTGGTTCACTTTGGGGAGAAGGTCAACCACCAGCCTGCCCTTGACAATGGCTATGAGTCAGCTTACGGAGTCCCACTGCTCCCCTAGCCCCTGGTTAGTCAGGAGGAATGTCACCAGACCTCTACGGGGAATTCCACTTGGAGTGACAAACCTCATCCTGTATCTTCACACGTGCTCTCCAGAGCTTATCCGCATTCTTAACCGGTGCGCTGGCCGGGATTTGGAGTGCGTACTGACCAAAGGCTTTGCATTCCGCAGTCCTTTCATTAACACCAAGCACCGGAGGGTCTGCCTGGAAACTAGACTGTTAGTGCCCACAGCCTTTAGCTGCAAATAGGCATCCTGTGGTCTTCAGAACATGGCACGGTGACGCAGAACAAATCTCCAAAGAATAAGTACCAAAACCCCAACACTTTAAATCTCCATTTCCATTGGTTTGAGCACAGTCTCTCAATAACTGAGCTCTGACTCCACAGCACTGAGTGCAGAGAGAGACTGGAGAAGTTAGAGGTACGTCCACTTTCAAAATAACTAGACACAAAGGGATCATCCTCAAGGGATTAAAATGGACCTCTGGCAAGATATTCTAAGACGTCTGTCTTCCTGATCCTAGGAGTGTGGCTCTCAAGTGGGACCGTGTCCTGTGCGGCCTCATTCCGTGTGTGCGAGTGACCCTGACGATCAGAGCCAAAGGTCAGATGCCCCCACCTCACTCACCCCACCTCTCACAGAGAACCGGGGGTCACTTCCTGAAAGAGTTCACACCAATCCGTTACCATTACTGGAAAGGTCACTCAAAGGTCAAGATCTGTGGACAGGGGTCACTGGGATCATTCTTAACCACGAAGGGCAATCTAATCCATGACTAAAGTTCCTCTGTCAGACAAATGCATTCTTCTCTTTGGAGCAGCCCTGGCTACACTTGCTCGGTTCCTACAGGCAACTCCTCCTTCCTCCTGGGAGTGGGCTGGTCAGAAAGGCCAGGAGGAGCCTGTGCACAATTCAGGGAGAGTCCTGGTAAGAAGGGACTGGCTGGGGACCCCTTTCTCGGGAGCACAGGGCACAGTCTCTCCACAGTGGCACCCTCTGTCCATATGCTGATAAAAGGGTGGTCCTTCCCCTCACACACAGACCCTACAGAGTCCACCTTCATAGCCAAGCTGGACACCTCTCCCCAAAGGGAGAGCTTCCGCCTGTGCCCGAGAAGCAGTGCATGCTGGGACACACCGCGATGCCTTTAAAGCTGAAACGCTTAACTTCACGAGTGTGAATTCCCCGACAGCATCCTAACGGTTTTATTTTTGGTTCAATAACATACACTCAAGTGCTGATGTTCATCTAAGAGCTTCCATTTTGAAAAATAAAAATCAGATTTTTATATTTGGTGCTTAACACCTCGCTAGCACTTTTTAATTGCAATACATTTTATTGACAAGACACAACCTGCAGCAAACGAGCTCCTGGACACGGTCATGTGTTCGCATTCGGTGAAGGAAAGGGCCTCATCCATTTGTTTCTTGGCGCAAAAAAAAAAGGATACATTTGAAAAAAGGAGAAATAATGAAATTTACTTACCAGCTTTTCAAAGTTGACAAGATTATCCAAGAATGTTTTATTTCCCTCATGAATAAATGTTACATCTGGAAATTGAAAACAGAATGACGTACCATTAGGAATGGATCATGAGCCAGGCTGGAGCGGTCTAGATGCAATGTAACCTACTCATTTTTCTTAAACGTTACGGATTGTTTCCCACATCCTGACAAGGCAGCTGGAAACGGAATCTGCACACTGTTCAGTGAAAGGGCATCACTTACGTGTGTGGGGAGAAAACACATTAGTGCAAGTATACATTTTGCACTTCCAATGGTGTATTTGACGTCAACCTGCTCAGTACAAACTAAGGCTATTCTGTTACCTAACTGGTCCATTGTGTTTTTAGGCCAGAACATTGAGCAGAAAACAACGGAATCTCCAGAAACAATAACATTTTAATACTTATGTTCTTCTAAAACAATTTTAGGCAAAGTGTAGGAAACCTGCTTCGTTTATAATATTCAGATTTAGATCCAGATGTTTATTGTTTAGACTTTTGGCTCTCCAAGTCAGCGCTTGATTGTGTATCAGAAGCGAGTACGGACAGAGGCAGGTTTGAAAATGGCAAGGTTCCTGGCCTATTCAACCGGTAGACAGAAAACATCACTGATGGAAATAACCGAGGGGAAGAAAGTGGGCCGCAGGCACAGTGCCCGAGGAGTGCAGGGAAGCTGGTGGCCGACAGGAGCCTCAGGCCACACGCTGACCTCACAAAGGCCACACGCCGGCCTCACAGTCTGCAGGCTGGGCACTGACTGCCTCAGAAACGGAAACACGGGAGGCCTGGTCCTTCTTAATTGCCAGCCGGTTCAAGTCCGTCCTTTCTCTCTGACAAAAAGGAACCCAAAGTAGGAAGCACAGGTCGGGGTGGGGTGGGGTTCCATTAAAAGTTAGTTCTTCTAAAGTAGTTTATTGACACTTTTAAAATAATTTTGCATTTAGAAAAAAACCCCCTAAGAATTAACGTAGATTGTTTTTCGCAAAATGTCTATGATATATACATGACATACATATATATTTCAAGTTTTCATCCTATTATCCTTGGGAAATTATTTCAGACAAAAATGGCAACTTTAAATACAAAGGATTGCTAACGATGCTTATTTTTACAATGACAGAAAAATTAAGGTAAAGAAGAAATAAGTGTTTAAACTCAAGAAAGCTTTTTATGAAAAAAAGAAGAAAAGTATTTAATTCACTTGTGTGAATGAGTGATGTATATTCAGTAGAAAAAAAGGGAAATTTGTTGTGCTGCCAACAAGGAGGTCTAGATAAACTCAGTAGAGCAGAAAATCGCATCCGAGCTAAGTTGTAAGTGTGAGACACTTGACTGCATTAAGTATTTTTTGGAGGGAAATCACTAATAAACAGCAGAAAGCTTTGCTCATACCTAATTAAGTTAAAGGGGCTTTGTCAGCTCATTTCTCATTACTTTAAAAATATTTGTTTGCCCCGCCGGTGTGGTTCAGTGGTTGAGCATCGATCCATGCACCAAGAGGTCACCAGTTCGATTCCCAGCCAGGTTGCGGCCTTGATCCCCAGCAGGGGGCAGGCAGGAGGCAGCCGATTGCTGTTTCTCTCTCACATCAATGTTTCTATCTCACTCCTCCTTCCTCTCTCTCTAAAAAATTAATAAAAACATCTTTTTTTAAAAAATGTAAACAAGTTTTATTTCAAAAACGTTAATTCTTAAAGTCAGTTCCTTTCTAAGATCTGTCCTCATATTCTATTTTTCCCATTTGTGTCTAAATGAGACTATGTGTTACTTCCCTCCTGCCGGCTCCTCTCTTCAATGGAGGTGTTTTATTTTGCAAATAAAAATCATAAACCTGAATAAACTTATCCTAGAAGGAAATAAACATGTAGAATCAAATGTACTTTTAAATTATTTTGATATTACAATCTCTCCTTATTTCATCCATTTACATTTAGCAGACTCTTTTCAGTCTAGATGAAGTAAGTGTGCGCCTCTCAACTGTCCTAATATAATACTGTTTCTCGGAGATTCTTGCTTTATGCTAGATGCAGACTAAATGAGTAGCTGCGAGAGTGCATAGCATCTCAGCAATTCTCCAACCTCTGCTGGCTCTCGGGAGAAGCAGAAGAGGGAATATCATCAGCTTTACTGCCAGTGCGGTGGGCGGGGGGATGGGCAGTGTGTGGGGGGGGTGTAGGATGGCCAGGCCAACCAGTAATCCAGCTCCTTGGTAACTCATTTCCAGAATCACATTTATGGGTCCAGTTATGGGGACCTGACCCAGCTGAAGTTACAAGTCTCTGAAGAGCAGAGGCTATATAAAAGAGTGTATCTATAAAATCTGTTTTAAAAATTAAAACATGGCCAAGAAAAATGACCAAATCCCCTTTCCCTGGACAGCACACAGGGAGGACATATATGGAATGTCAGGAGCATATGCTAGATTACAACGAACTTCCCCTTCATGAATTCCTTTGGTTTGAAAGAGACCACTGAGAACTCATTAGTACATTCAACTAACATGTTTCATGACACAGGACAAGTCAGTGGACTAACTTGGATGGTCACGTTCTTTCCCCGGTGGATTCCACTCCCGGAGAGAAGAAAGTACATTCCTGACCACGGGTGTTTCTCACACAGCAGCAGGCTGTGGGCTGCATCTCTGAAACTTAGGCTGCAAAGGAAGCGCTTGACTGATCACCGCTGGGGTTCTTTGTGCCAGCCCAGTGGTTGAACCAAGTGACGGAAAACTCACAGAAAATAAAACAGCGCTGGGAAGCAGGGTAAAACAAGAATACCAGTTTCCGGTGCCAAAGTTTGTGAGTCAGAAGAAAATGCGTTGATGTCTGCTTAAGGACAATTCAGTATCTTAGGTATTTAGAAACGACAGAGCATTTGAAATACAATCACCAGCAAACACTGTTGGGCCCGAATGCTAAAATTACTTTAAAGATATAAACTGAGTCCTCTCTCTCTCTCTCTCTCTTTTCCCTTTTTGTCCTCTATGGTTATAGTGATCAATTTCTGCAAGACGGAATTACAGAGCATAACAGAGAAGAAATGTTACCTTTAAGCAACAAGGGCATGAAAGGGATTTTGGGCGGCTTCATCTTTTTGAATGCATCTCTGTAGGCTTTGTGATTCAGGGAAGGATCCTGCAGAACCAAGCAGATTACAAAGAGAAAGAAAAATCAATGGGCTACAGAAACAATTCCATATCCACTTTTGCTTCACAATGTGAGCATGACTTAGATCCTGAGAGGTCCTCCCTAACAACGAAGTAGACAAAGGCCTCCTAGGAAAATAAGCTCACTCCGTTAGAGCAGGAAGTCTAGACAATGAATGAAAGCCGTTATTGGTTTACAATAATGGGAAATGGCTGCAAAAGAGAGACACCTTTTGATTGCTCTATTATTTTCCTCAAATCAGTCCTTAAGAACAGTTCCCTCTGCACAATTTCTGTCATGAGGAAACCCCAACGTCTTCTGTTAGGTCAGCTGCAAAGAAAAACTGCCCTTGTGATGCACAGATAATGCGGAGAAAACAAGAGAGGACCGCCTTGTTGTGTTCCGAAAAGAAACTATAGATTCTGTACCCAAACCTAAGAAATGGTAAAAAGGAGAAGAGAACAATGCACAAGACACAGGTTGCACACTAAATGTATACCAATTAGTGTCATAGGCTCTGAAATGGATGATACTAAAAATCTGCCTTTGAAAAACCATACCAAATGGACCGTTCTCACTATTGTTTTCCCTGGAGAAGAAGCATTAACTGCAAACTTGCTTCACCTCCTAAGAAGCAAAGCTCCATTTCCATACACAGGTGAACCTGTCCAAGCTACCTGCCCTGCCGGAGTGCGGACACCCACCACTGCGATCTAGAAGGAAATTAGACACTAGCGACTCACGTGAAGAGTAAGTCCCCTCCGGCTCAGCTACTTACCGTTAGACTTTCAAGTTCAGAGAAAAGTTTCTTAAATTTCCCAGGGATTTTCTGAAAACAAAAAGAAAAAGAAAAGGTCAAAGAAGTCAGTTATTTTGAGAGGCGACCAGGGGAGTGCTCATTAAGCCGTGCTTATGTGTGCCATTTCTGAACATAAATACATCTATCACCGGTTGTTCCCCTCACTGCGTCTCATGACACAGTTTTCATCACCCCCTAATGCGACATTCCTTGGGAATGTGTCTAAAAACAGTTTGAAATATATAACAGCCACATGACTGGAATCTGGCTGGTTAGACATTCTGCACACTGGTGATTTTTAAATAAGAACTTGAATTTCCATCCATAACCTACCTCTGACAAATGCTCTCATCGTCTTAAATAGTCTTGCTGATTGGGAATGATAACGTCGGCTGACGTTTTTTGTGTGAATGATAGAATTCTGTTTCACAGCGGAGGGCTAAATAGTGAAAGGCTATGAAAACCCTGCATGACAAACCAGGTAGAATGACTGAATTATAAAGATCAGCCACACCAACAGGTGGTGTGTAAAATGATAGAGGATGTGCCATACTCCCAAATAAAAATTCGGGCCGAAGGTAAGAAGAGCCTGGAATTTTCCAGCCTGCCTTTAGTGTGATTAAGTGAAAAGCTGGTTGCTGTTCATACGGGCGTAGGGAGAAGGCAGTCTGCATTTGAATTCTGCCTCAGCCCCTCTCTAGCCGTGTGGTTTGACGCGAATCTCCAAGCTCTCCGACTGATATGGAGACAACTCCTAAGAAGTACACAGTTCATGGTTGGTGCTGAACGAATTCCAGCTATTAACCCTGACGACCGTGTTCTGGAAGGTATTTGTGGGGCTTTCTGTTTTCAAAACACACCAAAGTAATTGAGGCAAACTCAATAATTAGACTTTTAAATTATGTAGAAATAGACTTTTCAATTTGATTATTTTGAATTAGGACTCAGTGTGTCACAGCAAACAGGCAGTTTAATGTTTGGAAACTAGTTACACGGACACACCTATATAGCCAATGAAAGACACATCAAATGAGAAAAGAAAGAATGTAGCCATCTGCAACTTATTCCCATCCTTCTGAGCCTGCATGTCTTAGCGTTGGACAGTCCACAGGAATGTCCCAGTGGCTCCTCAAACTCAGAGCCAAACTGATCAACTCCAGGGGTCAGCCATGGGCCAAACCTGGCTCACCACCTGCTTTTGTAAATAAAGTTTTATTGGAACACTGCCATGCCCACTCATTTACATATCAATTGTGGTGACTCCTGCACTACAGTGGCAGAGCTGAGTCACTGCAACAGAGACGGCCTAAAACATTTAGTCTCTGACCCCTCACCTACAAAGTTTGCTGGCCTCCGTTCTAGTTCCTTCAAATCTGCTGGCACCAGCCCTAGAGATCCCTGTGGTCACCTGCACATGGGATGCCCACGCTGACTGCCCAGCAACCCCCAACTCAACCTCTAAGACCCTGCTCCTCAGAGCTTGTCTGTAGAGTCTTCTCAGCTCCCCCGAGGTGGACGAAGGTCCTCTACTTGCTCTGCTGTGGTCCGACTGGACTTGGTTCAAGACCTCCTTCAGCAGAGCACACTCTGTCCCCATTCGCCTGGCCCGTTTCCTTTCTGCCAGGGCGAAGCTGCAGTGCCTGGCACAAGGAGCTCATGGAGTGCACGCTGTTTGAATTTAATTTCTCCTCCCAGGTTTAATTCTCCTGTAGCCCGTCCAGCCATCGTTCCTCCTCTGGTCAACTGGGGCACCTGTTGCCCACCTCCTTCACCTTATGATGCACGTGCACAGTCTCGTTGGCTTAACCAGAGCGGGCAAGCCTTTCATTTCTTTCTTTTGAACCTTCTTAAGGAGCACTGACCCTGACCCTCAGGTCACCCACCACAGTGCACTCCATCAGGGTATCTCCCTGATTCGCAGAAGGAGAACCTGTAAGTTGCCCAGAAACCCATGCTGAGAGCTAATGTAAGGAAAGAAATAGCTGGCCTATCAGCCTCTCTCTTGCAGGAGTTTGCACTGGGAACCACGCAGAGAATGGAGCGGTTAGTGATCGGAGCTGGGACTGGGAAGGCTGGAGAGAGGCAAGGAGACCGACGTGAACACATGCGGGCTGGAGACAAGAGGCAGACGACTTGATGGTTAAAGAGAAGGGATGAGGGAGAGAAATGGTACATGGAACAAAGCAGCCAGTCAGTAGGGAACAGAGAGTGAAGGAAACAGAAATCCAAGGGAAGAAGGCGATGGGGCCATGGGAGAGGCAGAGGGCCCTTCGTCTGTGTCTGGCTAAATTCAGGGGTGCCCCAATGTCAGTTCTCCCCACATATCCCTTCAGGTCCATGTCTGAGAACTTGGGCTAACTTTCGCGGGCTCTCCATCTGAGAACCTAAACAGCCTTCATCATACAACACCAACAGAGGCCGAGCCAGGAGTTGGGAGGCCTGACACTTACAGCATTTTGTGGGCCCTCTTTAAGAAAATGAATACCAACTTACTTTACTTTTGCAAATTTTACCAAGGTGGACACCATCCACGTGGGCACCCTGCCAGGGGCCCTGCAGGTGAGAGGCCCAGAAGCTCATTTGTTAGCATCTCAGCCAATAGGCTTCTGGACACATCACCACGCAGGGGAGCGTTTGAAAGGACCCCCATAGACTGTGACCCCGCTATCACAGGAGCAGAGCACAGGAAGACTAACTATAGTGGGGGAACATTTTACAATTCTCATCTCTTTCATACACATTACACAACCATTTTGAAGACCATTTAATCAAAATAGTCTCTACCAACTGGATGCATTATTTTTAAACTTTTTTTTTCTCGTAGTATTTGTTTAAACCATTTAAATCAGTGTGTGCAATGTAAACAAAGGCTTTTGCTGGACTGTCTCCCGTTTTATTTGTCCCTCCAACCCCTTTCCGTGAGGACCCCGGCTCACCTCCCAGGTCTGTGACAGCCGGCTGACAGAAGCAGTGTTGAGACCCATCACAATAGCAAAGAAAGAATTCAGGTTTCTCTGGGCTTTGCAGCTGCAGCATAAAAGAAAGCAGAAGGCACTTTGAGGCAACATCCTTTCTCCAGGTGATCACAAAAGATACCACTGAAATACTCCCTGAGGCCACATAGTTCAACCTCATAGGCAGGGCTGAAGTCTACTCCACCATCCCATGAACCCTTGAGCACCCCTGTGGGAGGCAGTGTCGCTGAGCACTGTTTCTTTTTTCTTTTTAAATTGATTTTAAAGAGAGACGAAGGGAAAAGGAGAGAGAGATAGAAACATGAATGAGAGAGAACATCGGTTGGCCGCCTCCTGCCTGACCCCCACTGGGGATTTGGCCCACAACCTGGGCATATACAACTGACCAAGAATCAAACCAGTGATCTTTTGGTGCATGGGTCAACACTCAAGCATGGAGCCACACCAGCCAGGCCTAACCACTGTTTCTAACAGAAATGAATCAATGCCAAATGCTTCAGCTCATCCTTACCTTTAGGAGAAGACCGATGTTCTTGACACCCTCTGACACTTCAAAAATTCCCTCCTTTTTAAAAATCTATTTTGGGCCCTGGCCAGTTCACTCAGTGGTTAGAGCGTTGGCCTATGGACTGAATAGTCTCAGGTTTGATTCTGGTCAAGGGCACGTACCTTGGTTGCAGTTTGGTCCCCGGCCCTGGTTGGGGTCGTGCAGGAAGTAACCAATTGATGTCTCTCCCTCTCTTTCTCCCCCTCCCACTCTATCTGAAGATAAATGGAAAAGTATCCTTAGGTGAGGATTAAAAAAAGAAAATCCATCTTGGATGCATTTACAATTTCAATGGAAAATTCTTTTTTTCCCCCAATCCTCACTTGAGGATATTTCTTAAATCTTCAGATAGACTGGGAGAGAGGGAGAGAGAGAGAGAAAGAGAGACACATCAATTGGCTGCCTTCCACAAGACCCTGACTAGGGCTGGGACCAAGCCACAACCGAGGTACGGGCCCCTGATCAGAATCAAACCCACGACTCTTCAGTCCTCGGCTGATGCTCTAACCGCTGAGCCAAACCGGCCAGGGCTCAATGGGAAATTCTTAAACTTATCTTTATATGTACCATCCTCTCATCATAATCGCTCTCTAGTTCCGTCCCTTTCATCAGCAAGCTGTCTATGTTTGGACAGACAAGCCCCTCTCCCTCACAGGTCTAAGCTGCCTCTCTTATATTCAGACATACTTTCTTTGCTACCAACAAAATTACTACTGTATTATGGATATATGTAAAATATGGCATATATTATGAGGATACTGTCCCAACATTTCTCATTTAAAGAGAAAAGGAAATAAGATGCAAAATAAGATCATACTGAGCTCCATTTACTCTGCAAAGTTATCTGTTGTACATAATGTCCATCATGCCCTTGACTTAATTCGTCAAAATTCCTCCAATTCTCACAACCGGCTGTGGGTGTTTGGTATAGGAGAGGGAGGCTGGGCTTCAGGTCAGCCGGAACAGCCTGTGAATTCTAGATGCTCTGTTATCTGGGACTCACTGGACAACAACTCTGAGGCAAGTCTTCAAAATTGAGAAATTATCCTAGCTTGATAATTAAATATGAAAATTATTTGCTGCTAAAGCAGTAAGTTAAGTGCAAAAAACCCCCCTCCTAGTGTATGTTAATCTAGCTTCTCTCAGACACCAGCTCTTCCCTGACATCACCATCATGTCTCCGATGGAATGCGGGGACAGTGGATACATAACTTTGCATCTTGCACTTCCAGTTATGTACCGTGTTAAATTATACATTATGGATTCTGATGCCATTACACATGATACGTTATGGATTCTGCACTATCATCATTAATGGCTATGTAACACTTTGCCAAACACATATTTCATAATTTGTCTACTCATTCCCCTGTTGACATTTACATTCTTTTCAATCAATATAATTCAATTCAATACAAAATGCTGCAATGAATAGCTCTGTGTATAAAACTTTTGACTATATGATTTTTTTTATTATGTTAGACTTCCACTCATTCCATGATTGGCCAAAAGCTATCATGACTTGAAAAGTCCTTGATACAGTAAAAACTTCTGTTTCCCAAAACAATGTTGATTTCTAGTCATGCAGGTTTTGTGTAAGAGCATCTAGTTGTGAACGAGGACAATGGTTTGGGCTGTTAAAGTAGCAACAGACACACAGCTGGCTCACCCGGGCAGGTCCTGCTGCCCTGCCCTGCTCCGAGCCAGCCTCGGGGACTACACGCTGCCCGAGAGCCACCGAGGGCCACGCCTGGGAGCACTCTTCCTTAGTAGTGGAACCTGGAAAGGCGTGGCTGCCTCCACACCTAGTGTCCAGAATATCTGGGGTGAGCTCAGTCCCCTCACGGCTGAGTCTCCAGGGCATGATGTGTCCCTCTTGTCGTCTTCCTGTCCAGCTTTGGACTCAGCCTGCAATTTCCCGGTAGACAAAGGACTCGGTCTGATTGGCCCCTTCATCTGGTTTCTGCCAACTTTCTCCTGGGTGGACCCTGCTTCGTATATTCCATGAATAAACAAAGATACTTCCTGGTCTATGACTTAGAAATCCACATGTTTTTGAGAATCACTGGTGTCTAGTGGCATCAGAACTGTGACTCTCCTTCCCTTCTGCCATTCACTTTCGCCCTTGCTATCTTATCAGAGCCCTGGGAGGTTACAGCAGGAGAAACAGACTTGAACGGGCTCCATCTCTGGACATGGTGATCTGAAGCACCAGGCTCTCGTGACCAGTGAGAACTGTCCATCCCTGTGCGAGAAGACTTCTGTGGGAGCCTCTCCCGTAGCCCATGTCCCCCTGCCTTACTACCCAATGGAGGCCGCAGTGGTTCCGTCATTCCCCACTAGCCTTTAGGTTCCCGAAGACTAGATGATATGTCTATTTCAGTTTTGTATTCTGCCCATCATCCAAATGCCTAGTATTCAGATGGCACTTACTGGAGCTGAAACCAATACTTTTTGGGGAAATGGTTTTATTATTATTCATTATAAAAAGGTTCATTCTTCTTTTCATTCAGCATCATTTATCTACTTGGCATCTTAAGATATAATCCTCATCTTTTAAACTTTCAGCCCCCCTATAAATACTTTTCCTGGTCCAGATCTCTTTCTCAGTCATACTAAAGCTTAAAAAGCACATAACTAACATCTGAGTCTGTTAAAAGGAAAAAGGAAGGAATGTAGACAAATTTCTCTAGCAGACAAATGGGTGCAGGTACAAACACTGGACACCATTCCAGTCTGCGCTCCTGTTACCAAGGTTCATTCATTCCCTGATAAGAACAGACTGTCTGACACTACACATTCCAGTTCAGCAGACACTCCTTTGTCTGTGTGAGGGAGTAAAATTCACTGTACCCACAGAGGTGGGGGATGGGGATGGTGAGAAAGGAAACATGAATATGCAAATAGGGTGCCTTAGGCAGGGAAAACACTTCATGATCACGGAAATTATTGTTTTCCCTTGGTTATTCCTACTAGTGTGATTATAAAGAATTTAACTTTGGGCCTTGATTGGCATTCTAGTCCATGAGCCAGGGTTAGAGACCAGTACCGTAAATAATTCAAGATCATGGGGCCACGCGGAGAAGATGTGAATAGATTTCATTTCCCTGAGGATTGATATAATCTTATACTGGGAAGAGAGCTGTGTGGTGTCATTTTACTTCTTTGGACATTAAAGTCCCATTTCTCCAAGTAACTCACATTTATAAGAATGTTTTTGATTCAAAAGAGCCTCATCCTTAGGTATTTCACAGGCTATTATGGAACATACTGGCCAAAATTTTTTGTGTGTGTGGTATGTGCCCCTAGTCCCGAACTCAGGACTCTCTGGTCTGTAGGCCGATGCTCAAATGCTGAGCCAAACTGGCCAGGCCTGGCCAAATTTTTTTTAAAAAAGAAGCATTTAACATAAAAGGAGCCCAAGATTTAGGCTTATATGTTATTCATCTTTTCTTCCAGCCACACCAAACAAGTCAGGAACTCCCATGATCTTTTGCCTAGGAACACAAAATGCCCTGCTTCTGGGGTCTCTGCCTACAGTTCAGTCTGTGGATAGTTCTCAGATCACCCTTCCCAAGGGACGACTCTGAGCATCCATTACCTGCACACACATTTTCAGTGAATTCCTACCGCCTTCTCAACCTGAAACTCAAAATCCTTCACTGTCTGGTCCCATCTTCCTTTGCAGATGAATCTCTCACAACTTCCACTAGGGTCAAAGTGGAGGAGGCTACTTTCCCAGACCACATGTTCTCTGCTACCTGTCAAATTCTACCCAGAATTCAAATACAGCATCAAATGCTTTCACGAATATTTCCCCAATCCCCCTTCCCCACATTGTTGGTGTATGGGCTTCCCCTCCTCTATAGCCCACAGAACGTGATCTCATAATAGCCCCCCCATTTTGGCACATTAGCTATTTGTATTATAGAAGTACCGCCCCTTCCCCCAGAAGGCAGGAATTGGGTGTAGGCTCAGCCAGATTTCCCCACGGTACCTTGCATAGATCTGCACCTATGAGTGAACAATACAAATTTCCTGAATGTTACACTGACATGTACTCAAAACACTGGTATAAAAACTATTTTGGAAGACAAAGGAGAAATAAAAGGGAAGGCTGGGAGGTAGAAGGAACTGGGAAAGATTTTGGTTCCTGCTGCCTGCTTCTGTTGGGAAGCTGTCTCAAGAGCAGTCTCAGGATACTGATCTGTTACTTTAAGAGATGCCCCAGGAGGTTACTAAAACATCATTCCTTCAACATTCACAGAAGTCACTGCTATTACTAAGTTCTGTTCCAGGCACCAGCACAATGATTGGTTAGAACTGGTCCCTGTCCTCTGGAGGCTAACATAGCCCGGTGAAGGAACCTTATATAAACAGGTAAAAAGCATGTGTGGGCGAGAGGGGGAAGTCAGGGTAGGGAGTAGTTGACCTTGCATTTGAAAATCAGTGATGTCTTCGAGAAGGAAGCAACGTTTGACCTATGTCTGTCTTAAAGAATGACAGCGGTCTGCTGGCTGGAAGGGGCCATTCTTTTTTTTTTTTTTATCCTTACCTGAGGACATTTTTCCATTTTTTGTTCAGATAGAGTGGGAGGGAGAGAGAGGAAGAGAGAGAGAGAGAGAGAAACATTGACGTGAAAGGGACGCATCGAGTGGCTGCCATCCGCATGGGCCGGGGACAAACTGCAACCGAGGTACGTGCCCTCAGCAGGAACTGAACCCGGGTCTCTCTGGACCACAGGCCAATGCTCTAACCGCTGAGCCAAACCGGCCAGGGCAAAAGGGGCCATTCTTAGAAGACAGAACAGCACATGTCCATGCTTGGAGGATGGTGTGCATGGGAAAGAGACAGCTATTGAGAGGCTGTAGCATGGGTACCATACACCCAGGGGATGAGACTCAGAGATCCGGAGGGACCAGCCGGTGCAGGGCCTGCTAAGGAGTTTGTAAAGTTCATACTGTGGGCATCAGGTAGCCAAGAGCAGAATTCTTGAATGCACCTGATTTTCAGTGGTCCTTACCCCTCACATCATCTCCCTCCCATTTACCAGCCTACTGGAGCTCACTGGCCACACTGTCGCTTAGCAGCAGGATGGGCATGTGTGCACTGCCTGCTCCTCAGTTCCAGCACACAGCAGAGTGCTTCAGCCTGGTATTTTGACATTTACTTTAAAATATAAATATTTTAAATGCAAAGACATAAATATTCATGAACAGACCTTTCCAATTCTTTGGTTACTTAACTCAATATTACATGTTTACATCCAGCCCTTCTTATCATCACAAAGGGAAAAAAGTACTCTGGCAAGGAGATGAGAGAAACTGTACTTTTCACCACTAGAAACTCACTGAGCGGCGATTTTGATGAACTTTTTCACCAGCTGCACTCTCTTGCCCAGCTGGTTGCAGAGCAGAATCTCCGTGGCCACCCAGAGCTGGACCTCATTGCACCTCTGGAGCAGAAGGCTGAGGTTCACGGTGTGCTCCCCACTTCCTTGTCTGCTGAATGTGAAATAGATCAGCTCTTGCTGAAAGAAAAGGTATTCATGCCAGTGTTTAGTTTTAGCACAAAGTCAAGATGATACAAAATTCAGTCCATTTTTAAGAGCTATTTCTGGTAGCTACTCTCATATCATAATATGCTACAATCGATTACATTTGAAACAGCTTATCTTTAGTTTTAGAGATGCCTCATTAAATAATGTTCACTTAAACTCCTTATATAAATGTATCTTTTAAATATTTTTTCTTTATTGATTTTAGAGAGAGAGGAAGAGAGATAAAACATCGATGAGAGGGAACATCGATTGGCTGCCTCTTTCATGCCCCCCACTGGGGATTGAGCCCACAACCTGTGCATGTGCCCTGACTGGGAATCGAACGAGTGACCTCTTGGTGCATGGGTCAATGCTCAACCACTGAGCCATACCAGGCGGGCTAAATGACTCCAAACTTCCTAAACTTGTTTTAAGGGCACATTCAAGTTTAAATGAATACTATTACTAGCATTTAAGATGTACATTAAACCCTCACAGGTAGATTCTTTCAACAAGGGTTCTCAAATTTTAGTGTGAATCAGGATCATTGCCCCCCTACCCCCCACGACCCTAACCAGAGTTTCTGATTCAATTGGTCTGTGGTAGGGACAAAATCCCCATTTCTAACAAGTTTCCAGGAGGTGCTGATCATGGTGGTCTGGATACCCACTCTTTGACAGTATCGGATAGTAAACAGAAATAGCAAGTTCCAAAATTAAAAAAGAAACGAGTAAGACCAGTAACTATCTACTATATATCGATTGATCACATTAAAGCAACAGAAGAGATTCGTGTCTGAATGGAGGTGTGTGTACGTTACAGAAGTAATTCACATTCTCCCACTGCATAAGCAGGGACACATCCATTCGATCAACATTTCCAAAGTCACAAGTAATCTAGCTGGAATGACTCACTACTTGCTCACATTTAGGTCATAGATTTAACGAGAAAATCCGAGGCCATTTAAAAGTCATTCCAAGTGAGAGTGAAGCTGGGGATTAAGTTGGGCATTAGTTCCTCCCTCAGAAGGAAAGACCTTCTCACAGTGAAACATTTCTCTACGTGGCAAAGCAAATGCAACATATGGGTGCACAGAGCGGTCATACTTGATGTCTTCTGATTCCTGTAAGCCTTCCCACTGGCCAAATTTAGTCATTAATTGTCAGTAGCATTTTGCCCAGAACCTATTGATTTGTAAATGTTATAAACTGTCCTCAAGGGAGAAGTTGATGGATGTAAAAGTTTGAAATATATCTCAAAAGTTTCCAGAAAGTACTTGAAGTCTTGCTGAACAGTCTGAATTTATAGAATGTTCTTAAATAAATGCATGAGTGTCTGTGTGTGCACACATGTATACACAGAAATGTAAATATGATTCTTGTATACCTATTGTACACTTCATGGGAAAAATTAAAATATCAGTATCAAAGGCAAAACAGCTCTTCAGCCCCATTAGAGCTTCACACATACACACACACACACACACACACACACATTCATACATATAAAAATATGACAGGTTTATACTACATTCTAGACACACATGATTATACCAGGAGCAAATAAAGCATGACCATGTATTTTGATTTTTCTAGGACTAGATCTATCTTTCAAATATCTTTTTGGACCATGGTACTCTACCTAGCATAATGATATCACCAGATGATGGATCTTTTAAAAACCTAGTCACATGCATAAATATGCTTCAAAAAGAATTCACAGTTAAAAGAGCCCTAGCATTTATTCGATCTTTTCACTCCTTCCTTACCTCGTGAATTGAATTGAAGAGACTCCAATCAAAATTCATTAATTCCAGAGCAAGATCCCAAGTGTTCATTCCCAAAATCCTCAACGGCCTTTGCTGTGATTCCTCATTTTCAGCACATGGGTTCTAAACCGACAGAAGCAAAAGGAGCCTCAGTTATTCCCAGTGTCTGGCACTGGCTGCCCCTAGGAAGGCACTAGAAGCCTAGATTAGAAAAGCGATCTTGTCTGAGGGCACTTAATATTTTCCTCGGTCTGTTCACCTTCAGTGAGTTACAGCCAATTTAGGAACGAGCCTTGGAAAGAGTAGACTGTGATCAGTGAGTGAGCCGGCCCGATACCCCCTTTGTGCCCACACAGATCTGATTATAAAACACTGCTGGGCAGACGGCATAATGAAAGCGAAGGCTCTGAAACCACTTGGGCTTCCGGTAGAAATTAATGTGCCAGCAGGGTTAGTATAAAAACAAACAGAAGAAATGTCACGGTGCACTTCAATAAAGACAGACATGGCTTGTACAGAAAATATGTTTAACAAGTCTCATCCTAGACACACATGTACACATTTTATTCAAGTGCTTGTGGAAAGCGAAAAAAAAATTTTAAACATGAAAAAAAGGTCACTTCATTTATACCCCACGGTGGATGATTATTTTAAGTATCAATTGCTTTCCCTATGTGTTCGGTGACAGTATCTCCTTAAAATATGACACAAAATTGTTAAATGCCATGGCAAGTTTAAATCTATCGTCACTGTTAAATGTATTAAAAATGATTTGGCAAAAATATTTGATATTTTTAAATTAAAATATAAATTCTGCCATTTGAGGGGTTGGTTGTGAATAGTTAATGATGTTGAAATAGCTAATGACTTGGAAAAAGAAGAATGGGACTTTGCAACTAAATTACTTAACAGGGTGAAAGAAATAATTCAGATTCCAAATAGTAATCTCTGTTTCCAAACTGCAAAATAAATAATTTGCATTTTAGAATTTTTACACTTATGAATAGTTTTTCTAATTAAAAAGAAAATGTGGCAAAAGACCTTCACAGAGCTTTCCCACAGACTCGATTCTGTTCACTCAAGGTACAAATTGTCCCTGTGTCCCCAGAGTGGGAGACAGAATGGGGCTCAGTAAGGGCAGACGGCATGAATTCACGTGCACATTCTGAGGTGCTGAGGTGGGGACAAGCCAGTTTCTCAGGGATCATCTGACCAGGACCAGATGGACACCACACAGCATGGCAGACATTTGAAGGGAGAGCCATGAGTCGGGAAGTAGCGCTCATCTTGGTTGACCGATCTGGAGGTATAAGGGTATTTTCACATGGCTTTTCACCCCTGCTCCTTTCTCCCCAAATCTGGATATTCAAGGTTGTCCCCCACCCTCTCCAAGAAACACTTGCTAGGTGTTTCTCCATCTCATCGTCCAGGGCTCTAGTTCCTGCTTTTCAAGAATACAATGCACAGGCTAGTATAATGGATGCTGGTTTCACATGTACTCTTCCCTTACAACGTCCTCTGTCAACTGAGATATTCGGGGGATAAAATACTTCAAGCTATGACTAATGGGGAAGTTTCAGGTGGTGTGCACAGTTGATGTGAGAACTGCTCGAGGCAGGATGGCGTCTGGCTCATCTCGGAACACACTTTGTAGCACCCATTTACTCCACTGGGACACGGGCTTGGGCCCGCCTTCTCCTCTTCTGAAGCTGGCCCTGCACAGTGGCGAGGAGAGCCCTGGGAATGCACGCCAGGGCCATCGTGAGCAGTTGTGTGCGCAGGAGGGCCGGCACATGGGAGCACGAGTAGAGCGCAGGTTCCCTCCATCACCAGGAGCCCAGAGCAGCTACCCAGTAGGTGGTCCTCCTTCATGGGGAGGAGTCAAGTCAACTCACTCTCATTATTAACTCAGAGATGTTGTGCAGCCTCAATGCATCATGTTTCCCTGATGGAATTACACCATATTCAGACATAGGACGGGTGACCTGCTGGATACTCAGAACTGGAAGGAGTCCAAGTTAGACAAAAGGTTCTCCTCCCTTTCTCTCATTGCATCCCACTGAAAGGAATGGACCGGAGATCCAGAGCCAAATACAACGGACTGAGATCCTAGCACTGTCCGCTCCTTGGCTGCAGAAAGCTACAGTAACTTCACAGGGTTATTGGGAATGTTAAAGGAGATACTGTATGTAAATTACTCAGCACATACGCGTCTGGTAATAAGTATCACAATGACAGTGACTAATGTTATGGTAGCTTGATATCCTGTAGATAATTTTACATAAAATGTTTTTACTATAAGCAGCTTTGGTTTACCCACATGATATATACAACAAGAACCAGCTAGAGAGCACCAGCCCAGGGATGACTCCATGACACAGACTAGGACCATGAGTGGGGAGGACACAGTCACACTCAGCTAAAGCCTGCTTTTTATGGGTGATGGATCCTAGCATACAGAGAGCAACCAGAAACTGAGATTTTTAGAAACAATAAACAAAGCATCTACTTAGGTACAATGTTCTTACATTTGAACTGAAAATTACTTAAGAGTATGGGTTCTACTTGTCTCAAATGCTCACTCTTCAGTGACATCAGATGTTATGAGGCCATTTTACACAGGGAAGCTGACACTCTGCCCTTTTGCAAGGGAAGGGTGCACTCTGGGTGCACAAAATTCATGGGGCAAAGGGCAGAGTCTCTTTCCCTTTAAGTCCTCACACGGTACATTCTCTCCATAAAAGAAGAAAAGAAGAAATGGAATTAAATTCCATTGGATAGGGAGTCACTTCTCTCCAGTCCCTTGTTTCAGAGGCTCAGAGAGATAGATGCAGGATCTGACTTAGGAAGCATTTAAATTCCTCAAGCAGTATGTCTTGGATTAGCCAAAACAGTGTTACCTAATGAGTGTATTATTGGCTAGAAGAGGAAATAGTTCAGTGTATTTTTCTAACACTCATTATAAAACATACACAAGCATGTTTTCAGTCTGACATTGGTGTCTGCGTGTTTCAAGTATAAGGCTAAAGGTCCTCACCAAAGTGTCAGCCAGGTCTTTCCGGTAGACGTGTAGCCGACCAGATGCTTCCAGAGATTTGGAGATGACCAAGTCATTTGGTTGAAGTTCATGCTTTTCTTTATTTAAAAAAAAAGAAAAGAAGAAGTCATTAGAAACACAAGAATAGCAGTAGGCATACAAGGTATATCTAAAGAGTGAAACCTGCCAAAGAAAAAACATTTCAAAGTAAACAGAATGTAAAGTAGATTTCATTGAGTTCTGCGTACTCTATACATTACCAGTGGGCATATGGCCATCACTGCTCATTATCCGTAAAGTGGACTTCTCTTGTGATTCTCTCTTACCATATCCAGTCATTCTCTGGAACACAGATACTTAGGGGAGAAAGTAAAATTCACTCCCATCACTCTAAGGTAACCATATGATGGGAATATTAATTAAATTTGAGTATATTTTTTTTCTGATCTTTTTGTAAGAGTGTGTGTGTGAGTATAAATACACAAAAATATAGTGATAATTATTTATACATGCATATATATTTATTATGAATACATATATTTTAAATTATTCCATATGTAGTTTTATATTCTGATTTTATTATAAACACACATTTGTCAAAATTTTTTATGTCATGTTTAATTGGTTATATAATAGTCTATTATAATATCACTTAATTTTTCAACTTTTGTTGAACATTTAATGTTTTCCAATTATTTTGGTCATATAAATTAGATGGCAAGATGCATGCTAAATACTATCACAGGGCCTGGCACATAGCAGGGGCTTGATAAATGGGATCTATTATTATCACAGCCATAACACATATTGTGGAAGTCAACATCCTTGTGCATAAATCTTTAGCTGCTTACAGATGATTTTCTTAAGACAGATTCCCAGTAATGGAATTACTGGGTCAAAGGAAATGAATATTTTAAAAGGTTTTGATGCAAATTGCCAAAATGCTTTCTAATTCTTTCACTGACCAACATTGATCATTACTTTTGGTAAGTCTGCTGTTTTGCTAAAACCAAAAACAGATTTGCAGTTTATTTTGTATTTCTTGACTACTGGTGAAGTTGACATTTTCATATAGTCTTCCATTTTATTTTCCTTATTACAAATTGTTCCTATCCTCTGACCATGTTTCCACTGTCGCTGGAGCTCTCTTGTACCACAACAGACAAATGTCTTCCTCCTAACTACAAAACGCAGATGGGAATCGACCAAATATAATCAGCTCCTCCCAAAGCAGGCCTTCAGATATCCAGCATGGTTGGGAAATGCGATATTCCACATCTTTCTCTAGATAACCTAATCAGTTAAAATGCCAAATTTTGTTTTGAACGGTTCTGCTTAATACAGACTACACAAATGATAATCTAATATATGCTTTACGGCCTTGCATTATAAAGATCAATAGCACTGTCATGTGGGCTGTTGGTGTGTGGTAGTAAATGGTCCCACAGGGCTGGGTTCGGAAGTTCTTCCATTTCCTCCCTCTTTGTTTGGCTACAGTTTCTTGCAATCCTCTGTGTGCCCATATATAACTAAAATCTGAGTTTATAAGAGCCATTCGACACTTGCTATGGGATAAAAATGCCATAGCATTTTGACACTAATTTTTCCATGTGCTAAGAAATTTTTTTCCCTTATTTTCAGGTTTGTCACTATACTATGAAAGATGAAATCTGATAAGCTGATAGAATTTTAAGTTCTGAATAACTGGGTAGGTTGTGGTCACTACACACATCTACCTACCCTCGGTACAAAAGAGCGCAAAACCTACTGCAAGCTATGAGGATAGTAGTACCAGTCCTTTTAGGAAAATCCACAAAACCTACAAGGTGCCAACATCTTTAAACTCTTTGTGACACAAATAAAAAAACAGTAAATCTCACTGTCATTTTATTTTGCTGTAGCATTTAAATCATTATTTATTGAAAATTATGTAACTAGAACAAGGAATACATTAAGTTCTGTTTCCCCCACCCCCCTTCATAAAAACATTATTGTTTAGGGGATATTAAGCTGCAGGCAGAAAGGTTCTTAATGAACAAAACTACTAATTGATGGAAAATGATGGCACATTTCCAAATCTGTGGGATAATTTAAGAGATAAGCTGATGTTTCTAGTGATGATGAGCAATGAATCTTTACACATTAAAACGCCACTGCCCACTCTGATGAATCCAATTTAATAGAGTGTAAAAATGGTATTTCATGGCCATCAAACAGAAAGTGGGTAATAAAAGAGCCACTCGTGAATTTCCAGGTTCACATGCAGCCCTGCTGGGTTTCGTGTGAATCTCCTGTGTCACCAAGTTCACTCAGGATCCCTTCTTCTCCAGCACCTTCTGTCTCAATGGGGACACAGTGATTACTTTTTATAATGATACTGTACTGAAAGGCAAATGTTGGTTTTAATAAAACTTAATACTGTTTGGAATCATTTGGTAATTTTGGTCACTTAAAATTAAATATAATAACCATTTATCATATCTATCTAAATGCCTGAAATACTTTATTAAAAATTCAACCACTCTGATTAAAATTCATGTAACCCACATGTGTCTCAAATGTTTGCTCTTTGTGTTTTTAGATAATGTTTTGATGGAATGCATAAGTAGGGCCCCAGGAGAGGGAGGAGGCACCCTCATGGACAGGCCTAGAGAGAAGGGCTGTATCTGTTTGCACTGTAATTGACTAGCCTGCAGGACCATTTTACCTGGACCTGAGTGACAAAGCAACGGAAGCAGTATTATGTCACATAATGCTCTCAAGTCAAGTTAAATTCTGATATTCTTTTCCTGACTCCGGAATGATAACAAAGTGTAAACAGAAATGCCTGGTCATTGCCCCACCCTTACCCCTACCTCTGGTTAATTGGTTCACAGAGTCCTCCCATTTTCAACAACCGATGCTAAGTCACTTTCTTTGTATTTTTGTCGGGGTTAATGAGATATTAAACAAAGATTGTAAGCCAAGAGGAGGCCAGTGGTGCTGAAATCTGACAGGCTCTGGTGAAAATGAAGGGGTCTGTTCAGGTCATGTAGATCAATAGTGTCAGCTTGTAATCTGTGTGATCTTATTCAAAACAGACAATAAACCCTTTTCTGAGGATAAATAAGGCCCAACAGAAGAAAAAGCTATAAGCAGGCCTCACTCCCCACGTCCACCTGAAGGAACACTGCCTGTGAGCTTTGGGCTTATTGTGCAGTTTTTCTTTCCTTCAGTAGGGAGTCTTTAAGTGTTAAATTGTCAGCCAGCAATATGACTAGCTCAAGGCTGTCCTTCTTTTTTCTTCCTAAAGTAATTTCATCCTTTAGCAATTTCCCAAGTTAATTTAAATATGAAAATAGAAGGCTTATCTAGAGTACAAAATTTGAAAAGCTTTATAATATATTTCAAAACATGGGCCTGCCTCTCTATTCAGTTCTCGGGAAGGAAATTTAGTATCCAACAGTACCCAACTGTTGTCATGGAAACACCTCTGGTAGGCAGCTTCTCATTGTTCCTGTGGTCATCCAGCTGCAGACCCAGAAGGGATGAGCTGCACATTTACTCTATAAAAATGTCAGCTCTCTCCTCTCGGAGAAGATCCAGTGAAAGATTCATGTTCAAGGACAGAAGATCATTTACCCCCCGAGAATGTGACGGCCACCAGAGCCAGATCCTCTTCTGCGTGCTGGATCTTCTCTGCCACAACTTTCAGGATCTCTTGGGCTGTACTGGAAACTTTTGCCTTCACACTGACATAGGAGTGCTCTGTTATGTACACATGGCAAAAAACTGCACAAGACAGAAGCATTGTTAGCAAACGGAGACTGTGGCTATGAGGTACAGACTTCTAAATCAAGGCACCCACCTTCCTCATCTCCCTAGTATACAACATCCACATTTTACCTATTTATGTATGCACATGGGTGTCTGGGGGTGTATGCATGCTTGCACACACACAAGATACAGACACTGTAAGGTGGTGAACAAGCCGAAGTAGGACTAAGGCTTCCCACACTCTAAAGAGACCCAAGTGCGTGCTCATGGTGGAGATGGTCTGACCACAACGCAGCGGAGGCTCTGGAACACAGACTGTACTTTTGAGTCCCTTTTTTGAGCGTTACTAAGGTCTCCCAAAGCAGCATATTGAAATGTACAACATACATTTTTATTTTACACTCCATTTCTAGACGGTCACAGAGGCCCAATCAAGAACACCACATTTCATTATCAGAATTCTCATAAGCTTATCTAAAAATCTATCAGTTGCCATGGTTTTTGTGTTCAGCCTTTTTTTTTAACTTTATTTTTATTGTTGACATTACAGATGTCCCACCCTCCCACCTCACCCACTTCCACTCAGCCCCCGCCACCCTTCCTTCTGGCCATCACCATACTGTTGTCTGTCTGTGGCTTATGCATAAAGTTCTTGGGCTAATCCCTTCACCGTCTTTCATCCAGTCCTCCCCTTCCCTCTCCCCACTGACAGCTCTCAGTCTACTCCAGGTATCCATGCCTCTGGTTCTATTTTGTCGGTTTATTTTGTTCATTAGAGTCCACATATAAGTGAGATCATATATCATTTGTCTTTCACTGACTTGCTTATTTCACTTAGCATAATCATTTCCAGGTCCATCCACATTATTCAGCCCTTTTGATTTTTGAAAAATGGCCCACCCCTCCCCTGTACCTCCCACACCTCCCTCCCCCTCTGATCAGGTGGTGTGAGTTTAGTTTCCAACTAGAGGTCACATTTCTAGCCATTTTAATTTCCTTTCTCTTGTCTGTGGTGCTAATAATTATTACTAGGACATTATCACTAGCTGGGTGAACAGGCCTTGGAAAAAATGGTTTCTTTGTGATTTGATAGCAGAAACTGTTTTAACAGCAATCGAGATAATTGTCACATTATTTGCTTCTTATATCAGCTAGTCTGAACAATAAGGTACTAGCTTCCTTAGAAAAGACAGGAGGACAATAACATACTTAGATATTTTTCTCTTCTGTATTACAAAATTAATAATAATAATAATAAGAAGAAGAAGTGCAGCCACTAGAGAAATGTCATATGCAATTTCAATGGCACCACAAAAATACCCTCAGGAATGTTTTCACGAAAATGCAAGTAAAGCAAAGGACAAACCAGAGTTTACATGTGTGACCCTCAAAGTAAACACGCCACCAGGAGGCACTGATGGCATTTTTGGGTTGGGTTTTACTGGGTATGTCACTAAAACAATGGCATCTAACAAATTGTTGCTTTATATGTTGTCAACAGACTCGTGAAAGACTAAAAGGCTTTTTTCCTTGCATAGGAAAATGAAACTTTTGAGCAAGGCAAAGATCTGAATTACCAACCACTAAATGAGACGTACATTTACAGCTCGCTTAATGAACTGGCGAACAAAAAGAGACCAGGGCCTTGGACTACTCAGACTCTTTGGAACTCAGCTTGGAAAATTATACAAGTAAATTGTGAGACAACGAGGCAAGGAAGGCCAGCAAGGAAGAAAGCAGGAGGTCAGATCATTTAGTTTTGTCGTCCACCTATTCCGGCACGACAGCACCCGCGTGAGCAGCACCATATACAAACAACGTAACAGAAGACGTAGCCTTGTGACTTTTTGTTGTTTCAGCGTTCCAGAGGCTGAGCGAACGTGAGACGCTCACTCTCAGTATTTCAGTACTTATTGGGAGGCCAGTTAACAGAAAAAGGCTCTGAGTCACGTGGCGTGAACATTTTAATTGCTATGTTTCCTGGCTCTGCACTTGACTCAACCTTTATCCCCAAAGGAGGAAACCGTTTTCTGTTCCGTTACAAAACAGTACCAGAGAAAAGCACGTCAGCATCTTCAGGGTGCTAAACAAGTGTTTCCCCTCAGGCTGACCGAGGGCCCTCTTCCCGCCAGGCCATGGGCCCTCTGGGCACTGATGGGCGCTGACTGAGCACACGCTGGATGCGTGGCCCTGCCCGGCACAGCCTTGCCCCGAAGGAACTGGGATTGCACATCCTTCCTATCATTATTCTCCTCGAGATTTCTTCTCTAAACGTGCCCTGCAGATGGGCATCAGTGGACTTGCCAGTCAACCACAGGCCATGAGCTGGCAGAGGGGGAGAAGACAACCCAGGGGGAGGTGGTGTTTCCAGGCATTTTGCATCTCTTCCCCAGAACACAGGAGGCTCTTTGTCGTCTCCTTTCCTTAGTTCCCAAATTAAAAATATCCTTGGTCCCAGGGTCACGATTACATGACTAAGAAACCAGTAACGCCCAAAGCAAGAAAAGAAACCATCTCTTTTGATGCTGCCCTGCAGGTTAAAGGGCGTGGCAGCTGGAAGGGTGAAAGGCAGCTGATGTGTTAATTCTGGGCAGAGATGATGATTGACAGCTGCTCTCTCTCCCCCCAACGCTCGTTAAAACCATACTCACTTTCCTCTGTTTCGGTCACAGTTCCTCTATGCTGAAGCCAGTTCTCCTTAAGACTGAATTGGTGGAAAAGGGCTTTATTCTGTGAGAAGGGAGACAGAGAACAATGAATGAATGTATTCCTGCCCTTTGGAAAGCCCCAGCTGTTTACAGCATGTTCCAAAGGAGCTTGCCAACTTCTTTCTTCAATATGCAATCCACCCATCCACTCGTCGAGGAACAAACTGGGAGTTGCCTCGGTTGACGCCTGTGGAGGTGGAGAGTCTGAGCAACCAACAGACCTCTGCCAGGGCCAGCAGGGCAAAAGACCCTCCAGTCACTCCCTGCGACACGCTGGAGAGCAGCTGGTTACCACAAGCACCCCGAGTCCTCCGAGAAAGGCACCGCTTCCCCATCCCAGTATCAACCTTGCCTTTGGATAAAGCAACTTGGAGGTGGTTTCACACTCCGCTGTAGTGCAGGGACTTTCTTAAGGGAAACAGGTACCTTACCAGCTTCTACGAAATGGTGCCTGACATCCTATTTTACATTCTCTCCCTCAGGCTGATAGAAACACATTCATTCTTGCTACCAGCTCTCTTTCTTTTGGGTTGAAAAGTGCAAAACTTTTTCTTATAAAACTTTCTGACTCTGGCAGTCAAGATTCTTGCCTGGACTACTCCCCCCGCCCCCATCAGTGTTTGACATTCAGATTTATGTCACTCTGGGGAAACTCCGAGACTTGGAATTATACCACAAAAATAGGCAGCACGTGAGCACGTCAAGGGCACAGGGCTGACAGACCGCAGCAGCACAGGGCAGCTGACAAGGGGCGTGAGCCGCTGCAGCCCTGGTTCCCTGTGGCTCCAAGCTGAATCGCCCCAGGTCAGATGGAGAGGGGCCGCCTTACCTTCCTTTGTGGTGAATATTCATCTACGGTGCTGAAAGGAAAAGAACAAGGTGTCAATCTTTGTCCCAGACCCAGAATAATGCAGTTATTGTCACAGAAGACTAATTTTCAGGCACTGGGTGGAAGTATTTGCTTTTCCACAAGATAAGACTCAGTGTTCATTAGTTTACTAGGGATAGCACCCTTGGCTTTGGGCCCTGGACTGCAGGTGAGCTGGGAAGAAAAGAAGCCTGTCTATTCAACAGGCACATTTTGCTCTCCACCCACAGAAAGTGGACACTGAAGGGAGAGCTGGGTTTTTTCACTATGCAGAAATGCTAGTTTTACATACATTGACAGATTTCAGTTGAAATGATTGTTAGTCAGGCAGCTGAATAAGTAGCCGGGTTGCATCTTTTACGGGCTATTTCTATGTGTGGTGTGACTGGGGGATGGACATTCTGCAGGCTCCCAGCTCAAATATTCAGGAATCTGAGGACAGTTCATAGTCTTGTACCAAAGACACAGGATCATGTCTTACATCATTTTCTTATGTTAACCTATTATTTCCCACTTTTATGTAAGTTCTGTAATGGAATGTCTCAAACCATGAGCTGAAGGTTTCCGACAGTAATAAGGCCTCCCTAACAGCACAGACCAACTTCCATGTGGGGATTATTTTGACGTCGTTTGATTTTCTTTTCTGTTTCATTTAGTTATTCATATTTTCATACTCGTCTTAGGGTATGGAAATAGTATAGTGTAAACGGAGAAAAGAAGGCCACCAAAATTCACAATGTTCATTTTTAACACACTGTCCTAACGTACACCTCATTGCTAAACATGTGATTTTTGTGGTTGAGAATTTACTGGCTCCTTAAAATTATATAGACATTTAATTTGCAGTAAGAGCTCCCTTACTGAAATGAAGTCAGGCTTTAAACCTCAAATCAGTAATCTAGAAGGCCCGAATTAACATTTTCTATGAGATGTGCATTTGTGACTGTTGAAATCTTAATAGAAGTTTCTCATAACTTGACAACAGATGTGTTTCATGTTTGCTAAATAGAAACCACATTGTAAATCAAAGGACAATTTTCCCCTTCAGATTAACTTTGCAACTCTATCTGAATAATAATTTGATGTTTTCATTTACCAAAATGAATAAGGAGAGTTCCTATAATCAGAGTAAAGTCAGGTTTTGGCAATTTGAAAGTCTAATGATGGCTACCTGGGGGATACTTGGACATGCCAAAAGTCATTGAGAAAATGGTTTTCTTTAATCTTTCTAAATTGAGGAAGAAACCTCAAGGAGTCCATAAAATTGAGCTTTTAAAATGTTCTGTGACTTGCTGGCACTTATTTATAAAGCATTTTTTCCTATTCCATTAGAGAGAGATATGAGCCCCCCAAATGAAAAGTTAAATAAATAGATTGATTATTTTGTTTTAATCTTCACTCAAGGATATTTTTATTGTAATTTTTTTTTTTTAGAAAGAGGAAAGGAGAGAGAGAAACATCGATGTGAGAGAGACACATCGATCAGTTGCCTCCCATACGTGCTCTGACTAGGGATCAAACCAGCAACCTAGGTATGTACCCTGACCGGGAATCGAACCTGAGACCTTTTGGTGAATGGGATGGGGATGACACTCCAACCAACTGAGCCGCCTGCCCAGGGCTTTAAATGATTGTTTTTATGTACCTAGGCTGTCTTGGCTCAGTAAGTTTCTCTTGTATCAAAATAGGGTTAAAAAGTAGTCGACCCTTGTTGGTGTGGCTCAGTGCTTACAGCATCAGCTCGCACACTGTAGAGTTTCGGGTTCGATTCCCAGTCAAGGGCATGTACCTGGGTTGCAGGTTTGATCCCTGGCTCCAGTCGAGGTGCGTTTGGGAGGTAACCAATCGATGTGTCTCTCTCACATAGATGTTTCTTTCTCTCTCTCCTCCCTTCCCTCTTCCCTTCTACTCTCTGTAAAAATCAATGGTAAAAATATTCTTGGGTGAGGATTAACAAAAAAGTAGTAGATAACCTGGATTTAGTGTTCATTCATTTTGAGATATAAAAACAAAACACACAATTTATAACTAGAAAAGCTCAAGAATCAAGATGAACCTGATTCAAAATGTTCAAAGTGAACTTTATAGGACATTTCAAATTCTATCACATTTCCTGTTTTCTTTCATTGATCGTAATATGGAAAATTAAATACATACTGACGACGATGCATTCCAAGTATCTTTTGAAATTCTTTCAGTTCTTTTTCAAGTATTGGATATTCATATACATCATCCAGCACGTTCCTGTATATGGTCTGTGGGACAAAGAAAAATGGCAGCTGAATTGCTTTAATGTCCATTTGGTAAGGATTTAGACTCATGCAATGGTTAGCCTGTCCAGGGAAATTGGTGGGGCCCGGACAACGCAGGGGGTCAACCGGGTACGATGACATCCTGAGTGGGATCACACCTCTAAGCCCCTCACTCGGCTCACAGTGTTAGGGACTGTAGGTAGGACATGATGGAAATGTAAAGATCTCTGGCTGGCTACTGCAGACTTCCACGCCCATTCTACATTTTTTAAATGATATCCACATAATTATCTGGGGGGGAGGGGGAATCAATTCCATTAAATTACCCAGTTGTTTTGAAATAAGATTAGTTTAGTCAGGGTTAAACCATTTTTTTTTTTTTACTGGATGGCTAAGTGATATATGAATTTTGAATGCAAAGTGGTTTACTTCACAAAAGACAGAAGCAGCCAGACACTTGCCTATTCTGAAATAGAAGTAACTCTTCCTTTGCTGAAATTCTATTTACCACTTTGTGTTAACCTGCAGTTAACACAGTTTCGGTGGCCAAAGGAATCCACCTGCCTATGATTTATCTCCAGAGAATGATCTGTGTTGAAAAGATGTTGTGGCCTATTACTGATTAGAAAAACATATCAGTTTATCTGATTCCAAATGTAAATCTAGGTTAGCATCTATTTTACAAGTTATTTTTACTTAAAATTCTCAAAATACACCACATCCTAAAAAGTTTCATAGTGTATATATTGTGAATATAGTTTATAAATGGTAATGTTTTATCCAAATATTGTATATATGAGACTGGTTAGTTCAAATTTATAATAAATCTCAACATATTAAATACTATCAAGTTTTGAAGTATGTTTCATTTTACCTTCCTTAATTATTTCATTTGCTATCAAACTTCCCATGACTTATATAAAAATAACATTAAATTAGTGAATGTAAAATTTTCCCTCTATATTTTTTCATAATGAATTGTTTAAAATTTTAAACATTCTATTTATGTAAGGAGTATCAGGCCTTGCAATTCAAAAAAAATTATTGCTTTGTTCGAATCACAACTTGAATGTTACAAAAAGTGAATGGCTGCAACCTACAAATGAGTTTTTCAAATGCATAACTAAAAATAAAATCAGTCATCTGGCATCAAAGAATATGTGACAATTTTACATTACCTTTAAAAACATCTTGGAGTGTTCATCTTCCTGTAACCAGTCTTTGTAGAGAGAAATCCACTGGGAAACAAGATGTAAGACCTTACGTTTCCGACAAGGAACATCTGAGTTTTCTTCTTTGCCTTGATACTTCTTAGCAGAATAGGTGCAAATGGTTAAGAAAGAATATTGCCTTGTTAAAAATAAAAATATGAAGAGATCCATTTATTCTTGCTAAGGCCTATTTTCGAAAGAAACCACAAGTATCTAAGCATGCAGGAAGAAAAGAATATGCGTAGGGAGACCAAACAGTGTACATTGAAAAGGGCAAAAGTGAAGCCAGGAAATTATTCATGTACACTCAGTGCCAGGCCATGAAGATGAGGGTGAGATGATTCCATTAACAGCTGCTGACTTAGTTTCATATGTTCCACAGAGCAATGCCACCTCAAAGAGACTCTAGGTGGCCTATTAATTTCAAGGGTGGTTCCAAGAGATCTGGCCGTGCTATATAGGAGGACCCGGTTCCCATCAAAGTTAGAAGACAGATATCCTCTGATCCTCAGAAATTCACATCCTGTGAAAACAGTTACTTCTAAAGTAGCCCCAAATGAGCACAGATTTCTGAAGCATAATTTGTGATATTTTCCAAATGTCCACTACTAGGAATTTAGTTGGGGGGAAAAAAAAGGACTGGATAAATGTGCAAACATAACTAAAAAGGACTGCTAATTTTCATTTTCACTGGAAGGAAAAAAAAAGAAAATATGAATAAACTACATGTTTTAACCATTGAGAGTAGTTAATTAGATTATTTACATGTCCATGTAATGGGCTATTCTGCAGCCATAAAACTGATGGTCCAGCAGTACATTTACTGACAGAACATTCCCAGTATGTCACTGATCAGGTAAGTAAGAAAAGAATATGTTAGGATGATCCATTTCCATTAACTATGCTCATTTATATGAATAATTCCATTACCTGGAAAGATATACTGACAGTTAACAGTGCTTCTCAAGGTAATGAAATTTCAGAGTACATGAATTGTGATGATACTTGTAAACATTTTCTAATTTGTAGACAATGATTGTATGTTAACTATGTTGTTAAACTTACTAAAAATAACAACCTCAAAGGCAACATGCTTAAAGCTTGAGGAATGAGCTTCATGTTATCCAAATCAAACTAGTGCTTGAGGAATGAGCTTCATGTTATCCAAATCAAACTAGTGTTTTTGTCTCCAAAATGATTATTTCTGAGTTTCTTGGACACACTGAAAGGTTAACTAGGAATAGGAAATGCTCTGATACAAAACACAGGTGGGCTTTGGGGTTGATGGAGAGGTGTCTATGTTTCTTCCATGCTGACATATAATTGCAAAAGGGAAACAGGTTCTATATCAGGCTTTGTAAATATTTTAGAACATAATTCAATCACTAACTCCCGAACCTGCATCTGATTTAATTTCTACTGGTGAAATAAACTCAGACCAACATGCAAAGACTCGGTTAAAGTCTAGTTTTTCTCTTGAAAGGCAAAATATCGAGATTCATTCCACATTGTTTCCACTCAGGCAAATGTCCTTTACTTCTTCTCCTGTAACTATCATGGTTGGACTAACATAAAAGAAAAAATCTGGAAAAGTAAGAAATACTAACGACTTCTTTCTTTTAGGTCAGCATATTTATGTGAAGAGGTAAGCTTTCTGTTATGGTTGCCTATATGTTCTACAATTATGGGCCTACTGGATAAAACAATTTGGGGAACTGTAATTTCAACAACTCTTCTTCATTCATAGTTACCACCATTTATTTGCTTAATCATGTTCTTTTCCTTACAAGATATATTTTTAAAATATGTACTGGTTAAATTTACATTCATATTAGTCTGGTTTTCTGTATCAGGGCATATTCCAATGTATATTCATACATGTTGCTCATGCTAGATTATATTGATTTATAAATTTAGCTGGGGGTGGGGAGGGAAATAGGGGGAAGGTATTCAGTGCAATGCAGTGCACTTTAGCCCACCCAAGGCTGTGAGCTTAAATAATGCTCATTATGATTATGATAGCTGAAAGGTATTAAATTCTATCGCAATAAAAATGTCCACCTAAGATATCCCAACACAGCACAAATGGCTCTAATCTATATTAAATAATGTTCAAAAAACAACAAAAAATAATTTGGGCCATTCCTTAGAATGTGATGGTAGTAGGATAGAAAAGATACCTTCACTATCATCAAGTGCATCAAACTATCTCAGATTCAATACAGATGCCACACTTTTGTTTGTGTTTTACGTTATTTTGTAAGAGGCAGAAGCTGTAAATATGTCCAAGTAGTCATGTAAAAAGACTCCTTGCTTAAAATGTTCTGGATTTCATGGGTTTTGATAATTAGGAAAAAGGCCACTAAGAATCTGAACTAAGTTTTAGTATAAAATGTCAAAGACTCAAAACATGTTTATAGCCAAGTAAAATTTTAGAAATTCTTCAGGGAAATTCTATGAGGCATTAAATTACTCAATGGTAATCACAAATTATGTTAGGATCACATTTAAAAACAATAGTAGGAAGGCATGTAACGTGCTATAAAACAAACTATTATTTCATGGGTGGTAATTCTTTTGGAAATATGTTAGCATTCAAATATAAAAGAAATGAGCTCATAGATTTCTTTTTTCAAAACATTTTTAAAGAAGGAGAAATGGAAAAACTTGTAATTTTTGCTAAATTTCTTAGTAACACCCCACTTGGAGGCTGTGGAAGAAATCTGTTTTTGAAATTTTCCAAATTCAAAACCATGTTTCGAGATCAGCTTTATGAACTGGTTCTGAAAAGTTTCGAGATAATCTATTAGTGGCTATATGATATAGAGCAAAGCACTAAAAGGCGATCACCATTTCTAGGTTATATATTTTAAAGAGAGATTATGCCCTTTCTAAAGTTTTAAAATACCATTTTAAGTAAAACATGTTAAAGTGGGGGAGAAATGTAACAAGTATTTAACAGGAAAGGAATATGACAAAGATCATTACCAGGGCTCAATAAAACTTAGGTAAATCCCCCCCCCCCCAAAATTTCATCTTTCTCAAAATGTTCACGTCGGCTCCAGTGGAATCTCCAGTCCGGTTCAGTAAAACCCTGACAGTGGACAGTCGACCTGGATGCTCCGGAAGCATCTCCCTTCGACACTGGGAGGCCAGAGCGCACCTGGGGCACTGAGTACGTTATCCCGGCTTGGCTTCTTGGCCTCCATCTGCTGCGCCAGTTCTACTCAGTGTATAAACCCTACAGCTTCCTAACCGGGTCATTAACCTTCTAATCACATCCATCATTCCCGGAGCACATGCCCTGACAAAGCTCTGAAAAGAAGACAGCGGACTCCAGGGGGTCGTTTAAGACCTCCCAGGTGGGGGCATGGCTGTCCCCTGGGACCCTGGCCCAGAAACATGGGTCACGTACGGACACTTGTCCGGCCAAGTGGTCCCCCACTAACTGATTGACTGTCTGGTAAATTCGCTTATTGCCAATTCACTCAACCTCTTGACTCAGGAGCTTGCCCAGGAGGCCACGTTTGCCTCCAGATTTGTCAAGTCTTGAGACCTGGATATGAAGAGGCCAGTACAGTAAATAGTACCATTTAGAACGGGCTAACAGCAGCTGCATTTCCAGGCCCCCCGTCCATGCTGTCTCATTTCATCTTTCACCTTGGCTATCATCACATTAATATTGAGCGTATCCCCACTCCACGGGGGGCAGGGGGACTTGAGTAAACGAAGAAGGCAGTTAATTCCTAAGTGGGAGACATCTGCCTGCCAGGAAGGCGACACAGCCTCCTGAAGGTAATGAAGGATATTGCCGCAGCAGCGCCTGGCACAGGTCGTCGGTTGTCATGAAGACAGTGTACGTGAGAAGGAAGTCATCAAGGAGGGTCTCTGCGAAGAAAGAAAAACAAACACGAGGTAAGCAAGGCAGTGATAAGAAGGGCAACTGCTTGTCCAGGCCCGGACAGTGCAGGGCAGACACAGGATAAACGCTGGTGGAAGGGGAGGGCTTAGGAAGGAGGGTTTCAGCCACAAAATACATTATTTATTAAAGTTAAGACTTTTAAAACTCCTGACACAAAATGCCTCAAGCAGTGAGATGTTTTTATTGCAAGACTCTAAACATACAATTTTTGTCATCTTTTTCCCCCTATAAAACATGTTTATGGGTAAAGATGTTATAGAAAACCAGTGCACAAGTCATGTGCTTTCAGAAATAAATTTTATAAGATTTCCAAGGTATACACTCCAGTTCTACAGGGAACGAAACCTCCATGTTCTAATAAATTAAGGCTTTCTAAAGCCATTTACCTAAATCTAGGGCAAGAACAATGGATAATAAAACCCAGAGGACACATATCAGGTTCCAAGGCCTTTCACCTTTATCTCTCAAATGTATCTGTAAGAAGCTGGGATAGTGGTGAGTGATTTTCTTATTGCTGTGAAGAGAGACAGAGCTGAGTCCAGGCTCCTTCCTAAGTCCTCTTCTGCCTCTTTACCCAACAAGAACAGGTTCCATTTTTATTGCCTCTTTGCCTTGAGTGTTCTTTGAAAAGTCCAGCTTACATATAAGATGGAACTGCATATCGGGTAAACACTGACCTCGAAGGTAACTTCCAAACAGACAGATAAGTGGTTGCAAATGGTAATGTTTAACAACAGAAGGGTATTAAGGGAAATGTTTTTCAAACATATTTATTTATTTTAGATAAGTACCAATATTCCTTCTTAAAAAATAAATTTGACAGCCCTGGCCGGTTTGACTCAGCAGTTAGAGTGTCGGCCTGTGGTCCAGAGAGACCTGGGTTTGGTTCCCGCTAAGGGCACGTACCTCGGTTTCAGTATGTCCCCGGCCCTGGTTGGGTTGTGCGGGTGGCAGCCACTTGATGTGTCCCTTTCACGTTGATATTTCTCTCTCTCTCTCTCTTCCTCTCTCTCCCTTCCACTCTATCTGAACAAAAAAATGGGAAAATGTCCTCAGGTGAAGATAAAAATAAAAAAAATTAAAAATAAATAAATAAATAAATGTGACAAATGGCACCTAAAATGTAAATTCAACCTAAACTTATAGTATCATACTGCAACATGTGAACAGTCACTGGTCTAACTTACTGTTATTTTATGGCAAAAGCAAGTTCTCAAACAGATGTGCCTGGGCCTTACTGAGCATGAACTAAGCCTTGTACAAGAATGTGGCTGTGGACAATTTCATGGAAGTGGGCATGCGCAGCCTCCTTCCATAGAAGAGCTAGGAGCTCTCTACTAGAGTCCCTGTTTGCAAAGTTTTAAATCTGGGCAGGAGAAGCTTCATTCAAAGATCTGCCCCCAAAGTCGTCAACCTGGCAGCAAAAATGTATCGCCGGTCACCCTAATGAAAAATTTGGAATATACATTTGAAACTTGATGTGTCTTTCCTTAAGATTTTTAAATAGTTTAAAGTCAAACAATGGCCCAATGTCTGAATCTTTGGTATGTGTTGGAATACAATTTCAAGGCTAGCACTCTGGGATACTATTGAACAATAATGTTCACATATTGTAATATTTTTCTTTTTTTTAAATCCTCATCCGAGGACATTTTTCCATTTTTTGTACAGACAGAGTGGGAGGGAGAGAGAGGAAGAGAGAGAGAGGGAAACATCGATGTGAAAGGGACACATCGAGTGGCTGCCACCCGCACGACCAACCAGGGCCGGGGACAAACTGCAACCGAGGTACATGCCCTTAGCAGGAACCGAACCCGGGTCTCTCCGGACCGCAGGCAGATGCTCTAACCGCTGAGCCAAACCGGCCAGGGCTGTAATATTTTTCTGTACTAAATACAATTGATGAAAATCTTCAACTTCTCTGGTCTGATTAGAAATTATGATAATTTCTTGCATTCAACGTTAGACACAGGCAGGAAGAGCCAGCCAGTAGCCAACGACACACAGAAACCACTGGGTGACAGTGCTGAGCACCTTACACATTCAGCATTTAAAATGCCTGACGTGACATTCAAATTCAGACTCTTCGGGATGTTCTTACACTTAGCATTTAACGAAGTTGGAACGATTCTCTAATCAAGATCTACTCCATTAGTAGCTAAGATGAAAAAGAACACCATTAACTTTGACGTAACCAGTCACTCCATTCAGGAACAGCCTTAGATAATGAACTCAGTGACTGTGACAGTCTGGATAGATGCTGGCAGAACAATCTGGCATTCGGTTCAATTAATCAGCTCCCATATGACAATATTTTGTTAAGGGCTTTGACCCCAAAATGCTTATTTCCCTAAAGTTACTACCATATTTAACATTCCATGCACTTATTTAATTATCTCTCTTCCATATTAATTACATGAAAACAATAAGGCTACATAAAAACATCTCCGACTAAAATCCTAATTAACAGCATAGCTTTTCGTAAAGAATAGATTTCCAATATTCTTAACTCAAATCTTTCTTTCTTTAACTACCGTATTGTTCTAAAACTTTTTCTATATATAAAGAGCTTTCCTTTATTCTTTTCCTGCACTTTGTTTTTTGCTGCACATGAAAGTAATTGAGTGCTATAATCAAAATGACACACTTCAAAGTAAAAGTGCATTTTTAATAGCCATGCTTCAAGAAAGGCTGTCCCACCGGCATTTAAAGATATTTTTAGAACCGCAATAGCTATATAAACGATCCCCTGAAGACTATTAGAAAACAATAGCCATTTAGAAAGATTAGCAAATCCATTGGCATCCACATTAAAACTCTATAATTATCTACTACATTATATGGTGCTTAATTAATAGTAACTTAAGATGAGGCAGAAAGCACCTTGGTGTATAAAAGCAGCTTTCATTTAAACAAATTCCTAGTTGCCATATACACTAACATTCTTATACAAAGATGTATTCATTTTGATTTCTAACTCTGTGAATACCTAGGTATCAATATACAAAAAAATTTCTTTGAAATTCTATTCATTAAACCAATCACTAAATCTAACCCCAAATTCTTGGCTCATCACTGACAAAACTATTCAGCCATTCTTTTGGGAATACCCCCTACTCAAAACTAGAATAATTTTTTTGTAGTGGCTTTTTACAATACAGGAAGTCTTGAACCTTCTAAAAGTAACATGTTGGTGACAATCAATACTGGAAGGCAAACAGTATGACAATTTTAAGTACTAAGCTTGAAGTAAAGTTGCAGTCAAGACCTAGAGTGTCTCCCTGTGGTGTGGCTCAATTGGTTGGGCATCATCCCATGCACCAAGAGGTCGCTGGTTCGAATCCCAGTCAGGGCACATGCCTGGGTTGTGAGCTTGATCCCCAGTAGGGGGTGTGCAGGAGGCAGCTGATCCATGTTTCTATCTCTCCCTCTCCCTTCCTCTCTCTCTAAAATAAAAAACAAAAAACAAAACCATTTGTTAAAAAAGCTAAAGATGTAAAAAATAAAAAAACCCTATAGCCTTGATAGAAAGGGCTCTAAAATTCATGTCTGCAATTAGCAGTTATGATGTTAATACAGGACTTTTCCTAGCATCTGTTACTATTTTCATTTGAAGGCATAAGAATTATCTATTTTTATTTGGTTTTACTTGGATGTATTTTTCTTTTATGTATAAATTAAATTTTCTCAGTCTCATTTTGAGTGTATCAAGCACTAATAGTTTCCATTTTATTTCTGCCAAACACCAGTGTTTCTAGAGCCTCCTAGACTTGTGTCACGGTAGAATAGTAATTGGTTTGGTAGAGGTCCTTTTGTAAGGTTCTATTACATAAATGTAATCAAATTATAGAGGAACTGAGCTAAGTGTTTCCAAAAGGTCTAAGCTTAATGCTTTAAAAAAAAAAAGAAGGCATTAAAACAAACCCTGAAGTCTAGAAATCATAAAGAGTATAGAGTTACTTAGGAGCAACCAGAGAAATCTATTTCAGTTATTTTTCAACACTCATAAGCAAAATGCACTGCAATAATGAAACCACTCATCTGTCAAAGTGAATTACCAAGAAAGCAAATGAGAAGAATTTTGACAGACAGCTGCCTATAGTAGCCATTTAATCTAAGTAAGGTAATGGGACTATTCAACATTTCTGTACTAACTCATATTCCCTAAAGTACTGCTAGCAGTTTTGTTTCACCCGTAGTTCTACCTTGGGTGCAATGGAATTTAAGGCACTCTAAAATATGTTCTACTTGACCTTTATTTCAAGGAGCCAAAAAAAAAACTTTGTACTTGAAAGGGCCCACATTTGGCCCGGGAATGTCACAGCTTACAATTAGTTTTTGAGAAGCAGCACCAGAAGGTACCGTGAAATTTGATTAGGCGTGAGTGTGCAAACACACACACACACACACACGTTCTTGTCTGAATCACAGGTTAGAGTGCTACACCACCAAAAGCTATGCTTCTTTCTCAGTGTCTTTTAGATTTCTGAAAGTAGTATCAATAGCCTCCAATGCAGCTGTTCGGTACAGCTTTTACATTCACTCAATTCCCACGTATTTTTCAACAGTTTCACCAGAGTATTGCTTAGCAATTCTAAAACTATCAAATAATATATTAGTTTCACCAAAAAAAAAAAAAAATGCTATTTCTACATCAAACCTTAAAACTCACCCCTTTCATGACAGGAACTTACGGCAGACAGGGCTTGGGTGGTACTCTTCAGATAATGAAATTTGTTTTCACTTTAACTTGTGAAATTTGGTGTTGGAGTCCTGTGATTCTTTAGGAGATAATGATTTGAATACAACGAGTATTGTGTTCTTAGCTACATTACATCTCACACGCTGCCTTTTGAAAATGCCACTAGAGCCCTGCGGTGTGGCGCAGTGGCTGAGCACTGACCCTGCACCGAGAGGTCACTGGTTTGATTCCGGGTCAGGGCACATGCCCAGGGTGTGGGCTGAT